CGGACATTCAACCAAATGAGCATAACCATCTTCTTCACTGAATGCTTTACCACAACCCGAACACAAAAACACAAGTTCTAAACATTATTCAATATTCAAACAATTACTCGAAACATCAACGGTCTTAGCCGCCTCTTTCTCTTTCTCCTTCTTCTTCTTCTTTTCTTCCTTCTTCTTTCTCTTCTCCTCCTCTTCCTCTTCTTCTTTTCGTTTTCTTTCAGCCTCAGCATGAGCCTCAGCTTCAGCAGCAGCCTTCTCAGCCTCTTTGCGCTTCTTTCGCTCTTCTTTCCGTTTTCTACGAGCTTCCTCTTCTTCTTCCTGTTTTGCCTTTTCTTCAGCAGCAGCAGCAGCCTCGGCAGCTGCGGCGGCAGCTGCTTCAGCCTCCTTCCGCTTCTTTCGCTCTTCCTTCCGCTTCTTGCGAACCTCTTCCTCCTCTTCCTGTTTTGCCTTTTCTTCGGCAGCAGCAGCTTCAGCAGCAGCCTCGGCCTCTTTGCGCTTGCGACGCTCTTCTTTCCGTTTTCTGCGAGCTTCCTCCTCATCTTCCTCCTTGCTTGCAGTCGTGTCCTTTGATTCCTCAGCACCGGACTCATTCTTTCTGTGGTGATGATGGTGGTGCTTTGATTCTTTTTTGACTTCCTCCTCTTCAACTCTACTATTACATACAGAATGAACAACTCACCCTAAACCTTCCAGAATATTTCGGTCTCTCCCAGATATAGACTCATACCGATTCATTTTTACCTACGTTTACAAAAATACGAAACACATACTCTCTCCTTTTCCTTTTTGGATGCCTTGCATACTTTATCATGAGATCCAACTTGATATGAATCCATGATCACTCCACATGCGCGACATTTGACAAACATTGCATCATCGTCGTATCTTCTATTAAATTACTTTGTCTCTCAATAATTAAGTACTCTCCCTTTGGCATTTTTCAGTGCTATAAACCTAAGAGAATAGTCTCAACGTTTATCGAGATTTTGATTAAAATGGATAATGAGAAAATCCACTAAAAACCGCGGGATACATGTTTCGTATTTTATTCTGATATCTATTTAACTATTGTGTATTATTGAGAACACACTTGAAAATGGATTGAAACCTGGCACAATCATTCAACTCAACTCTTTGGTTTCCTCATTGTATTCTTCCTCTGGGTACAATTGATCTTTGTGATAACGACCTCTTATTTTGTATTTTCGAAACAAATGTTGGAAACGAAGCTGCTCTCTTTGGCTTTTTTGGGGATATTGTTTATAGAGTTGTGTGTTTAACTCAATAGGGAACAGATATTAGTTATCTAGACAGTTTCGATTACTTTTGATAATTAAGTACAGGAATATTGATCTATTTTGCAACTGGTTATTCCATTCTCCTTAATACGAAGATCTGTATAATACTTTTCACCTAGTACTACCTGACAGGGTTTTTCACTTACCGAAAACAAGGTGACGTTTCATAGTGTGAAAGATGAAGACATGACATACAAAAGTATCTCTATCACCCTTTTCTTATGAAAATCTTTCTTCTAAAAGAAGATATAATTAATAACCATCGCGTCTCAATTATTAAAGAATTCAAGTCATAATTAGGTACCATTTACCAATTAATTAAGGTCCCAACGCTCTTTGATAACTATCTCTGTGATTATCGAGTAAATGAGTGAATCTCCTTTATATTCTGTTTTATTACCAACGTATAGAAGCTATTTAGGTCTTATCATAAAGGTATAATGAGCGAGAAAACCTTCCTCTCTGCATTTATATGATCGATAAGGCAATGACGAATAGGTAAGTGGTACTCTCACAGAATTATCCAATTAGTGGAAATCGTTACGAAATCGTCATTGTTGAGGATAACAGTCCTGATGGGACCTATGAAGTAGCAGTTGAATTGCAGGTATCTGTTTAGTATCCGTTAATCCTTATTGTATAGAGAATCTTTGGAAAGGACAAAATCCAGATTCTTCAACGGACTGGTAAACTGGGCTTGGGAAGTGCATATATGGATGGAATGAAATTGATTCATGGTGATTACGTATTTATTATGGATGCTGACTTGTCCCATCACGTTCATACTCACATCCGGAATGATTTTTAGCCTAAATACATGCCCGAGTTCATTCGCAAGCAGAAGGAGCGTGACTATGATGTGGTAACTGGCTCTCGCTATATTCCCACAGGCGGTGTTTTTGGTTGGAACTTTAAGAGAAAACTGACTTCGCGCGTTGCAAATTTTATCGCTGACTTCATGCTCAACCCGGGCGTAAGCGACTTGACGGGTAGCTATCGTCTGTACAAGAGGGAAGCGTTCAACAACATTATGCAGAACATGGAGAGCCGAGGATATGTTTTCCAGATGGAGATCATCGTGCGTGCTCACGATATGAACTACTCGATCGGGGAAGTTCCGATCGTGTTTGTGGATCGAATGTACGGCGAGTCGAAGATGGGAATGAACGAGATTATCCAGTACCTCAAGGGCGTGTTCAATCTCTTCCTGCATTGCATTGTTTGTTCACAAACTCGATAGTTCACACACTACATTTACTCCCTTGCTATATTCTCGCTCAGCAGAGGGAAACACTCATAGAACTCGTTCTTCTCAGCTTCCGTATTGAACTCCAACGTAAGCTCGCGATTTCCCACAAGAGTCACCGTGTTCTCGGCCTTTACAATCTTCGTAATCTCGCTCAGCGGGAGATACGCGACCTTCGAGCGGAACAAGAACCGCTTTCGGTACCACTGAATCTACGATCGATTTGCTCACTAGCCCCTACCACAAGTCCCTTCGTCGCGTGCTCAATCAAAATGATCGTCGTGAGATGCGGCTTGCCTCTTCTGCAATGCTTCTTGCACGGAATTCCAGTCACCAATTTGTCCTTTATCAGATTCTTCTTTCGCAGGCGCTCTTCTTCTTCTCGTCGCTTTCGCTCCTCCTCTTCTTGCTGCTTACGACGACGCTCCAGCTCTTCCTGACGCTCTCTCTCCGCGTTTTCTAATCGAATTCGCTCCTCTTCGCGCGCCGCGATCACGCTCGGATCCTCCTCCACCGGCGTGTTCACAATATTCGTCACCGTCGCGCTGATATTGTTCATCGTGCTCGACACCTTCGCAGTAATCGAGTTGAACAGCGAGCTCGCTGCTTCCTTTCGCTCCTCCTTATCGCGACTGAACATGCCGAACAGACTCTTCTGCTTCTTGCCAGACGATAAAAAGCCGGGCTTCTTCTTGCTATCGGAGTCGCCACCGTTGTCCTCGTTGCCCTGCGGCGATTTCGCGGAGGCCGGTGTGACGGGCGTAGCGAAGGGATTCGTTCCGCTGGCTTCTTCTTCTTCCTCGGATTCGGAAGGATTGTCGAAAGGATTGGGAGAACGAGGCGCTTCTTCCTTCTTTTCGACAGGAGCAGCGCCGAAGGGATTGGTTCCACTTTCCTCCTCTTCACTCTCAGATGGATTGTCGAATGGATTCGGTGAATGAGGAGCTTCTTCTTTCTTCTCCACAGCCACAGGAGCACCGAACGGGTTCGTTCCGCTTTCTTCCTCTTCACTCTCAGATGGATTATCAAACGGATTCGGACTGTGAGGTGCTTCTTCTTCTTCTGCTTCTTCTTTCTTCGGTTCTGCTTCTTCTTTCGCAGATTTTGGCTCTGCTTCTTCTTCTTTCGGCTTTTCTACTTTGATTTCATCGCTATTCAACAGCATGAATTGACTTCCGTTGTATCCACTCGGCGCTTTGCAATGTTTCGCGTGAGAAGCAGTTCGTTCAGCTGAAAGCTTTCGACCGCAAATCATGCAAACAAAATCCGGATTCTCGTCGTCTTCTTCTTTGGCGAGTTTTGCGAGACTGCTGCTGATGCTCATGGTAGCGTTCTTCACGAATGAATTGAGTGCGAACTTGGGTCTGGAGAAGCCCTTCTTCGACTCTTCTGGCTCTTCCTTCTTGACTTCTTTTTCTTCTTCCTCGGATTCGGAAGGATTGTCGAAAGGATTGGGGCTGTGAGGAGCTTCTTCCTCTTCTTCCTTCTTCTTGGGTTCTTCCTCTTCAGACTCAGATGGATTGTCGAATGGATTCGGAGAACGAGGAGCTTCTTCTTTCTTCTCCACAGCCACAGGAGCACCGAACGGGTTCGTTCCGCTTTCTTCCTCTTCAGACTCAGATGGATTATCAAATGGATTCGGACTGTGAGGCGCTTCTTCTTCTGCTTCTTTCTTCGGTTCTGCTTCTTCTTTCGCAGATTTTGCCTCTGCTTCTTCTTCTTTCTTCTTTTCTTCGGGTTCATCCAGTCGAATTAATTGAGCTCCCGTTCCCGTCGTGTTCGGACATTCAACCAAATGAGCATAACCATCTTCTTCATTGAATGCTTTACCACAACCCGAACACAAAAACACAAGTTCTAAACATTATTCAATATTCAAACAATTACTCGAAACATCAACGGTCTTAGCCGCCTCCTTCTCTTTCTCTTTCTCCTTCTTCTTCTTCTTTTCTTCCTTCTTCTTTCTCTTCTCCTCCTCTTCCTTCTTTTCCTCTTCATCAGAAGACGAAGATTCGTGCTTCTTCTTACTCTTCTTCTTCTTAGGCGCTTCCTCTTCAGAGGAATCGTCAGAATCATCGCCACCCTTCTTTCTATTTAAAAGATTACCCTTGAATCCAGCGCCAAACTTGTGCTTTTTCTGTTGGAGGAACCCAGCTGGTACTTGGGATGCTGGTACAAATTCGTAGCGCGCAGTTTTTAGCTAAGATAAATAATTTTGGCAGGAAAAATACAGATGCTTTTTCTTCCTCAGTGGCTGAACAATGTTTATCGTGAGATCCAACGTCTTCCATAGGTACGTAACTCCCACATGCATAGCAAAGGGCATACATTTCAGGTCTACAATTTTAGTTGCAAAAGCACTAATCCTAACTCTGAACTTGGCATTGTATTTCCTATTTATCCAATAAGCCAAACTTAAAAGATTTCCTTTGGAAAACTGGTTATTATGTATTACCAGATCATGCATTAAATAATAGCAGAAATTCGGAATTGTAATTTTTGGACGATTTTAATACAAACACAAAATCACACTTATTCAATCCACGACTCGGACTGAAAACGATAACCGCATTTTGGACAAGTGAATTCCACAAGATAGTCCGTAGAATCTTTATTCACCCAAATCTCGTCGTGAGTGCACACTGGAATGTATTCTTTGATGGAAAATCGCAGCATTTGCTCATTTCCGCACTTTGAGCATACCTTATCGATGACCTGACGCTTATCTTCCAGCATGTTGCTGCTTCTATGCTTAATTTTGCCTATATTACGCTACAATTTCATTTCACGCATATGAGTAAAATATAGACGAAAGTCAACTTGAGTGACATCGACAACTTTCTATTCTTTAAGTGTGATTATTATTCAAAACATGCTCAAGAATTCGTTCGATGATGGTCGTGTCGTCGCATTGTAAGAGATTTGAGTCAAAGTTTCGTACCCATCGTTTGAGACGGTTTTCACTGCTCCAAGTTGATTCCAACTTGCGAGCCTCTGTGTTGGGAGGAGACAGCCACAGCTCTCCTTTCTTGTTACGTTCTGTTATCACGTTCACCATCTGCATTACAATCGGTCCTATTTCTCGCTCGAAAAGGGTTGAATCCTGATACATCGCGTCAATAGGATCCGAACCACGATAGAATGCAACCACTCGCGACTTCACAGTTGGAGGCAAATACGTAAATCGATATCGCAGTGTCCGAGTGAATAGCTTGACCATCTAAGAACAATACTACTACAAATATCGACAATCATAGGGAACGAATCATTCTCACTCCTAATAATGGATGGAGGAGGTGGAATCTCGCTCATATTCATCACATTCGGGTTTGTCTCCTCCTTTCTTGCAGTTGTATCCCACCCCTTGCTCATTTCCGAAATGGAACGAGTTGCTGCATTATTAACTTTTTCAAGTGGTTTATTCATTCCAATAATATCCTTCTGCAGACTCGTTTCGATTTCTTGATGAATCTACGAAGAAGGTACTTAGATTGGAGTACCTGCTCGCAAGAAGGGAGATCAAGATTGAATTGCTCGTTGTTGATGATTCGAGCGTTCTCAAAGTGAGCCGAATGAACAGAAGTCAGAAAGTCGAGTAAACAAAAGTGCAAATTACAGCATTGGATGCTCGCCCTCTCCTTATTGCATATTACACAAGTCTCCAGAGAAGACATCCAAAAGTATGAAACAAACACGCAACTCCGCTTTATCAATTTCATTAATCAGCTGATCGAAGAGCGACAATTCCATACTCATCGAGTCATCCTTCTCTGCTTCCTTACTGCTCTGCGTCTACACGCAATCATCCCTCTTCCAAACCGCCAACTTGAGGCAAAAACGAAGATTCTGGACACAGCGACCGGAAGACCTCCTTCACTCTCTCCATGCGGTGATCCATGTACAAATAGCATCCCTCCAACCGCGTCGGAAGGAACGAAAAGTTCTTCGGTGCGTCCGTGCAGCGATACGAAACCTATTCATCACACTGCGATTTCATTCACACATCCACGAAGTGGCAGGAATACATCATTTCGATCGGAATCGTGCCTACATCCCACAATCCGCCCACTCCTCACTCTTCAATCTCTCGCAATAACCGTCCACAGCTCGATCCATCCACTCATATTGCTGCTCGATTTCGCCAGTCGATTCGATTTCCATAAACGCGAGAATCAAATTCTCGTTCGGCGCCGTGACTTTGAACTCGCTGTTAAGCTACAGTTCACATCTCTATGAGCCACTACGATCAACAAATAAATCGCTCGGTGCTCTTCGCACGCCGGAACCACCACCAATTCGCGCAGATCCTTCTCATTCGCCTTCGATTCGCCAAAAACCCCGCTATTTTCGTCATTTCCAACACCTTTGTTGTTTCCTTTCACGATATACAACCCATGTGCCAGCTTTCCTTCCACGGTTTCCACGGTTTCCACGGTTTGAGTGGGTTTGACGATGGGAGGGAAGGGATATTCGTCGGCTGCGATGATGTGTTTGCAGCGAATGATTGTGTGTGTGGCTTCGTTGGCGATCTCCAACCCGAGAATTTTTTCGTTGGCCGCGTCGGTGATGAGCGAGAGAATGGCGGTCTGCAGCATGGTGATGCCTGCGTACACGTTGTTGATGCGGCAGAAGGACTGGAGAATGTCGCCACCGCCGTAGATTGGGTACAAGAAAGGCGTGTTTCCGTAAATGTTGAGCGATTGGATGAACTCCTGGACGCGGGAAATGCCCTCCGAAGTGGTCAAATCCCGGAATTCTATTGATGAGGGATGGGAACACGGAGTACCCTGGTTGTCTCCTAGCACAGTGGACTCGGAGCCGGCAAGACAAATCGAATAGCTACAAGTCTGAGAGTTTTTTGAGCGATTTACAGAATCATATCGCGAAGAACGCCCGAAATCTTGAACTCTTTCTCTAAAAACTCCACAAACGGAGCGTTTTTGTATTCATCCAGATCGATCTTCAGCACCGCTTTGTTCTGCGGACGACTGAGGCTTCGGCCTTGCTTCAGCTCCACATCGTTGACCTCCTTCGCTTCGTCTTCGTTGGCGCAACTGTCTCCGATGAACTGAATAAACTTGGAGAGAAGTCGCTTGTCTTTCAGCGAAAGCAGCTTGCTGCTGAAGACTTCTTGGCGGGAGCACGGAAGAGGGAGCAGGCGGGGCGCTTCATCATGGAGAAGGAGAGCAGAGATACGATTCTAGAGGAAAGTAAGAAGAGAAAGGGAAGGGAAACGAGTGGGTAGAATTGAGCGTATTGACCCAAGCCGGATTCGGCGAGAACGTTCACTACTTCGCCGCGAGAGAGAAGAAGGGCGCTCGTTAGATCGAGGTTGTAGCGACGATTGTTTTTCTGGAGGAGAGGAAGCACGGATTCCGTGTCCAGCTAGAGAAAATGGATTGAAGGAGGGATGATGTACGCTTTCCTTCCAATGGCTTATGGAATCCAACTTCCAGAAATCGCTCACAGGGTGAATCGCAATATCTGACAGCGATTTTGGCTCCGGAGTGATGGGTTCTTCATCTTTCAGATCGAAAGTGTCATTATCCCACACAATCGTCCGTTTTGCAATGGGCTGGTTCAAAATATCCAAAACTTCTTCAGCTTCTATTGATTTAATCGGGATTTGAGCAACTCACTAAAGGGGGCCGTTTCCGGCAATCCAGTATTTTGAATACTCTTATCTCCAAATGCTCTCAATTCTGAAAAGCAAAACGTTGCATTGTTTGAGCCAAAATAGGAGTTCTACAGATAATATCCACGAATCCACTAAATTTACTTTGTCTATCAGGATTACGCGCTTTCCAATTCGAGATAATGCTCTATACGATAATCGACTCAAAGTCCATGGAATACCCAGCTAACACTGAATTTTCAAAATTTGATCCAAGTATAACATAATCGTATTCCTCCTTGAGTTCAGCCTTCATTGAATAGTTTTTCTTTTCCATTTCTCGCATGGATTCGTTTATTAACCGAATTCAGAACAGAAGGTATGGGCAATACCAATTAGATAGTAAGGAATGGATAGCATCCACTTGTTGGAGTAAAAGGTATATGGCTTGAGATTGCCGTAATGCGTAGTATCCATGCTGTGGGATATTTCGATGTTGCTTGCGGTCGAAACCTAATTGTAGCGGCAAGCCCCAATTTTGCCTCTTTGGTTTTTGAGGAACTAAATGAGCACAGAAAACTGATTCCATTGGATATTCTAACACCTACCTATGAAGGCGGGGTGAATTGTTGCAGTTTCAACGATGTTTCGGATACAGTAGCTGTTTCTGTGGGATCCCATTCTGTTTATCTTCTCGATATGCAGGTTCATCAAGATGTTTCCAGCTTCAGCTTTGACTCCGTACTGAGTCAGCTACAGCGGGGTCTTACGATGAATTCCTGGCTGGGAAATGCAGGAAAAGTAGTTGTTTCGCTAGATAATCGTGAAAGTCGTCCGATTCCCCTCCTCTCTTCTTTAAATGTATTTTCGCTTTCTCCAGATAAGAGGTATGGCCCAATTCTTGAATTTGAAATAGTCTGATCGCTTCCACTTCAAACACCCATATTCTTCTGTACGATACACGGCAGCTTTCTACACCAATTTATTCGGTTCCCTTCCTTTACGCAAAAGACGCAGTACACTTAGATTGGAATCAAGACAATCACGAAATAACCATAAATTGCGGCTCGAATGGAGTGTTGCGAGCTGATTTAACGCACGAACTGAACCTCGAACTGATCCAAATCGGCGAGTGGGTTGCATATCGAACAGAATCGAATTTAGAAATGAAAAATACAACCGTCAGAACTGCTTTATAAACGATTTGCTGGTCGCAGGCGACGATTTGGGAGCGATTCATTACATCGATTCAAACAACTCGATTCTTCAGTCCGTTTCGGTGAGCGATTCTCCCATTATCTGCATGTCGGCGCTTTCCGATTCGCAGTTCCTCCTCTCTACAGACACAGAAACGTGTCTGCTCCAAACCACGCCGTCGATTCGATCGGTTCCGCAGTTGATTTGGCAGGAAATCGAAGAGAAAGCGGACGTTTTAAAGACGAAATCGCCGAAAGAAGCGGACGAGACGGAGGAAGTGGAGGAATGGATGCTTCAAGGACGCCGTTCTGACTATTCGCGATGCTCCTTCGAGCAGTTTGGAATGTGCAGACAGCAAGTGTTTGTGTGCCGAACGTGTCGCGACCAATTGGATCGCTTTTTGATGTCGAAACGCCCAGAATTGACGCACGAAGCGCTGTCGAAGTTTTATAATGTGGGCTATTTGTGCGAAGAATGCGCGCATTTCTGTCATACCAATCGAGGCCATGACGTTGTCGCGTTGGGCGTGAAGGACAACGTGAAATGCGATTGTGGAAACCGAATCTTTCTCCAATTGGATGAGTTGGGAGTTTCCGAAGAGGGTCATTCGTTTCATTCTTGTTATTTGTGTCCCGGGAAGCCGGAGTGGAATCCGTGCAATGTGTACTCGCATAATTGCAGAGAACGCTGGTGTTATTGCGATGAAGAGGAGCGTTTGCCGATGGTTCAATGCGTGAAATGCTGCGATTGGTTTCATAATGATTGTGCGGAGAAAGTGTGGAGCGAAACACACGAGGGACAGACGATCGATTTGAACGATGAATCGATTGACTTCGTGTGCAGAGATTGCGAGAAGAAGGCAGGCGCTCCGTCTGCGTCGATGGCTCCCTCGCAATCCACTTTTATTGGCGGCGGAGGAGAAGCAGGGAAGTCTATGGAGACTGTGGAAACAGGGGAAACAGGGGAAACTGTGGAAGATGCGGAGAATGAAGAAGATTTGGAAGAGTTGATTCGAGTGGGTTTGGGAATTTGCTGTTCTTTGTAGGAGAAAAGATCGAAGAATGATCGAACGGGCGCCATGAAACTTGTGATTTTGGAGTGAGAAATTGACGAGTAGATGCTGCGATATATGCTGAAGAAATCGCTGAATCAATCCAAGTCAAGTAAGCGAAGTATCATCGTGGAAAGTGTAATCGAAAGAAGGATGGGTTGAAGTGTAGGACGTGAATCGAGCCACCGAAGAATTGTCGCGTGTGATGCGTCGATTGAATGGTTTGTCGTCTTCTGTTTTTTAAAACAAACACGACATTCGTTTTGTTTGATATCCAGCTGATCTGAAAAACTGCAAAAACACGTGTAGATTCGTTGTGAAAGAACCCATTGGCGCGAACTGCCCCCCAACTTATCCTACGCTCGACTTCCCATTTCACGCCTACAACCAAAAGCTTTTCTTTCTCTGCTTCGCTTGGCAGACTTTCGTATGCTTCCACCAACTCCGCAACGCTGTGATAATGCTCAATCACCGCGGCTGCTTTCGCTGCAGACACGCCTGGAATGCACTGAAGCATTCGAAAGAGCGTTGCTTCGCTTGGTGTGGCTGATTCTTTCAGTTGATAGCCTCCCAAACCTCGGCCTCGTGCCATTACGCCGAGTTCGGATAATTGGGATCTGTGTATGAATTAATAAAAATGAAAAAGGACTGATAGGGAGCGTCTCGAATGCATTGAAGGATTTTGAGAATCCATTCCGCAACGGAATGATGGCTCTCGCAAGGAAAGCACGAAATATTACAATCTCTGGGAATGAAGGAAAGAGATAGTTTGATACAAACGCAATCGAATGTAGAGTTCTGTGAGGAGATCGCGAGTGAATGGCTCGATGGATTCCTTTGTGATGATTTATGAAAGTGGAAGAGTACTCGTCTCTTTTTTCGTTGTTCTGCGATGATTCCCTGCATGTTGGTTAGAATGAGGAACATTTTCTGGGAATCGTTTGAGAGCAACTGTTCTCTATAGGATCGAATGCTTTTCAGTGCGCCTTCCAATCCATTCTGCTTGATGAGCGAAATCATATTGTTTCCATCAATGACAAGTGTGATGCAATCGCTGACCATCACATATTCCTAAATAAAAAATCCTATCATCTTGAGTACATCGTTCACTTGGCGCATGACCAAACACACTCCATGGATTGGAGATCGAATAAACGGACCAATCACATAGAGAGGACGAATGGAGTCCAGGATGACTTTCCCTAATTCACTGTAAGCCAGTTCCTCTTCCAGCGCCACTAAAAGTGTTCTGTGTCGAGATGAGCTGGAGGTTTGCGATAAAGGGGGAGACATTGGATTGGATTGTTGCGATAAGGAAATGGAAGGGATTCGAGAGATTGGATCGGCTTTCCTCTTTTTGGAAGGCGAGCCAATTGGAGAAGAAAAGGATGAATGAGTGGGCGTTTTATGGATTGGTTTGGGTGATTCATTAATGATTCGATTGGGTGATTCATTCTGTGAAAAGAGAGTTCGTTTGGGCGATTCATTTATGATTCGATTGGGTGATTCATTTATGATTCGATTGGGCGATTCATTTATGATTCGATTATATGTTATGAATGATTCACTTTCGTCATCATTCTCCATTTTATCCTCTTCAATCGATGATTCCGACAGCGAACAATCACTGATCGCTTGCACTTCCGCTTCCCTCGTTTTTTCTGTTTGCTCCGTGCGTGTATTCGACTTTGCTCCCTCCACTCGGTTTGTTTGAGCTCCGTATCGACCCACGTAATTCCTCACAAATCCATCCAATCTCGAAATATCGTCAGATTCTTCTTCCTCAGAGTCACTTCGACATTGGGTTCCGTCCGCTGTTTCCGACTCGGAAGCTAAGTTTATTATCGAAAACTCCTCTTTTTCCTTCCCTTTCTGCGATTTTTCCTCTTTTGATTTGGGACACACGATCGATATATCACCAGATGTGAGTTCTAGAGAATCTGGATCGAGGGAAAGATGACTTTGATCCAACTCCTCTTCTTCTTCTTTATCAGATTCATCAGAACAGAGAGAAATAATGGTTTCTAAGGTAGTATCCGAGTGCAACATCTTCTTCAGTTCCATCGTATTGTTCTCATCCTCCTCTTCTGTAATGCCCAAAACTTCAAACGCTGTTGGAACTGATGGCAACCTTGTTTCACTCCCATTTGTTCTCTCTTCCTGACTCGTTGATAGTGTTGTAGACTTCAGCGTTTCAGGATCCACTATTATCTTTTTCATCAGCAATTGCCGAAGTTGAGGTGAATTCGGAACAATCTTTCGTTTTTTATCCTTCGGAGTGGAGCCATCATTGAAATCACTGAATAATAACGTTGATTGACTTTCTTGAATTGAGGAAATACGTTTTGACACAGAAGATAATTCTACTTCTGAAAATGTGTTACTCGAAGTCTGTGTATGATTCTATACATAACAGGATTTAAATAGATGATACAATTACACTTGAATCTTCACTGTCTGTATTTGCAAGGTCAATTAGTTCACTATCATTCATCCCTTCCCATATAGTCGAAAGAGAGAATAGTGACCAAAATAGATTGATTTGGTGGGAATGAAAATACTGCAGTTTTCTGTCACTTTGCATATTTCCTATCTCAATGGCTCAATTAATCGGGAAAGTGACAGTGAACGAAAACGATGTGTCTCTATATCGATTTCCACAATCGGGTCTTACCGTTTTCACTGTGCACAACGAAAGTACGATTGTGAATGGTTATTTTGTATGTTCTTGAATCAGAAATAAGAGTATAGGCTGTTGCAACCGAAATCGTGGATACGGACTATTGTCGCAAGGATGATGGTCTTCCGCATACTTATATCCTATGTTATTTGTGCAGCTGTCTTCTTAATAATTACTGGAGCATTTGGTGTATACAGGGAGTGAAAACTATCCTTATAAGGGAATTCTGGACCAAATCGCTAACCATTGCTTTGCTCAGGGAACAAACGCATGGACTTCGATCGATTACACATGGTAGAAGTGGGAGAATAGGTTAAGCTTAGTTTTTCTCTTGAAGTTGCTGGTTTGGAAGGCTTTTTAACGATTCTTCCGATTTATCTTGACGTTTCCTTTTTCTTTGTAAACGTAACACCCAGCACATATTCTTCCCCACCCTAACAGAAGACGCCTTTCTCACCGAGGTGCACTCTATCAACGGGGAAGGTGAAGACGAAGGCGTTGTTTTCAGCGAAATGGAATCCGTGCAGAACACCTACTCCGAGATTCTGAACCGAAAAGTCCAGCAACTTCTCTATGGAGACACGGGATATATATCCTTTTTTTATTTGTTATTTGTTTGTTTGTTTGTTTGTTTATTGGCGGGACTTAACATTACTCGTCCTATTATGGAGGCGACATTTCGAACCTGCGATCGCTCCGAATCGACCAAATCCGTCGGTTCCACAGCGAATTCTACCGCCCCGAGAACATGTGCGTGGTGGTTGGCGGCAAATTCGAGCGCGACGACGCGCTGCTCGACCTGCTGGCGCAAATCGAACGCTCCTTCCTTCCTCGCCTGCAGCAGCGAATGGCCAAGCCGTACGTCCGTCCCTGGATGAACCAATCGCAGATCGAGCACCTGCCGCCCTCCGATTCCACGGTTTCCCCTTTTGAGGGAGTTTCAGGGGTAGGCGATCGTGGAATTTCCGAGCGGAAGCAGCGAGGGCTCGAATAATTACGTGTCGATTTCGGGTCGAATCGGTCGAATCGACGATTTTGACAAAGTGCTGCGATTGACGATTTTGCTGGAGTATTTTTGGGGGTATTTTTGCCATTCCAGTTATCTGACGGACTCCACGAACTCTCCGTTCTGCCAGTTTTTCGTGAATCAGCAGAAAGTGTGCGGGGAAGTGTCGTACAATCTCTACGAGAACTCGGTCGTGGCCTTCGAGTTCGTCTTCTCCAATGTCGACCAGCGCCACACTTCCAAAATTCGGGACTATTTCGACATGGTGATTCGCTCGTACTCCTCTTTTCTCTCTCTTTCGTTCCTAACCTTCTAGAGAGATCGAGCACGGCGTCAACGAGTCGCGTCTGCGCGACACTCTCCGCCGCACGCTCACGCAGCATCGCCAAGCGCTCGAAGAGCAAGCCTTCTCCACGCTCGCCGACGACTGTTTGGTCCATTTCCTCTACGGCCCGCGCACCTCCGACGCCTCCGAGCTCCGCGCTCTCTCTGCACGTCTCCAGCTCGACTCCGCCTTCGCCTCTCTGCTCCGTTCTGCTCCGTCCTCGCCGACCTGGACGCAGCTCCTCGCCCAGTTCTTCACCGAGCCCTCCGTGGCTCTCCACACCGTCCTCGCCGTGCCCTCCGTCCGCGCCGCCGCCGCCGTCGCCGCCGACGCCAAGCAGATCGTGGAGACGCGCCTCGCGACGCTCACCGCCGCGCAATTGGAGGAACTGGAGAACCGCACCGAGCAGGCCGTCGACGCCAACGAGCGGCCCGTCCCGCGGGAATTGATCGCCAACATCCCCGTGCCGTCCATCGACCGGATCTTTGTGCGACGGCAGGCGAGTTGTGTGGTGTCCCGCGGGGAGATCGCGGATCTGTGGGACGGCGGAGACGGCGCGCTGCGGTCGGCGCTGGAGCGGGAAGCGAGCGAGGTGGCGCAGAGGTAGCGATGGAATTGCCCGGTCAATCGAAGCGGCCTTGCCTACCCGGTGCAGCTGACCGCGCAGGCGTCGGACTTCTGCGCGATTTCCGCGGTTCTGACGACGTCGGGGCTGAGCGTGCGGGCGAAACGGCTGCTGCCGCTGGTGCTGGTGAGTCTGCTGGAGTGTCCGCAGCGCGGAGCGAGCGGAGAAGTGGTCAGCAGCGAGGCCATGATCGACTTCATCTACCGACACACGACGCACAGCGAGCTGCATCTGGGCTTGCGGCCCTGCGCCGGCTACGAGGTCAACCGCTTCTGCGAGCTCGTCAAACTCTCCGTCGAAGTCGAGGCCGACCGAATCCCTCTCGGAATGAAACTCCTCTTCGACCTCCTCAGGAACAGCTTCATAACCGCGGAACGCCTGCTGATCACCGCGGAACGCACGGTGAAACTGCTCGAGGAGCAGGTGCACGACGGGGACAATGTGTGCGGGATTCTGGCGCGACGACAGACGCTCAGCGAAACGTCCTGCTACAACTGCTTCGATCACGTGCTTTTTGGACGGGCGTTTCATCGTAGATTCGGATGAAACGCCTTCTGGAGAGCGTGGTGGCGGAGCTGAAAGCGGGGAACGACTCGATTGTGGCGGAGCTCGAGGAAATCCGGAGGAATTTGGTCACTTCGGACCACTTCGCGTTTTTTCTTGATTATCATGAACCACTGTAGACTCCTCATCGCGACCAACTTCGCGAAATACCCGATTTCCCGCGAGCTCTTCGCGGCGCACGCGCTGCTCCCCGCGTCCTCCGGTTTCTCCCTTTCCCCTTTCCCCTCCGCGACTCCGTGCCGCGACTTTCCCCGCGGGAAAGGGACGGTGTGCGGGATGAAAGACGCGAAGACGACGAGCGCGTATTTCTTCGCGCGGGACGAAGCGAAGCGGTCGCTGCATGAAGAAACGGTGGCCCGCGTGGCGCAGCAGCTGCTGGCAGGGTTCGAAGGACCGCTGTGGCGCGCGATTCGAGGGAAGGGACTGTCGTATGACTTCGGTTTGCTGCTGCGAGAGGACCAAAAACTGGACTATTTTTATCTGAGCGATTGTACGAGTCCCGCGGAGAGCTATGAAGCGGCGTGGAGGATCGTGGAGGAGTATTGCGAGAAGGGAGTGAGCGAGGAGGAGATGCGAGGCGCGCGGGGCGGCGTGTGCTTTGATGTGTGCGAGCTTTTGGACGATCCGGCAGCGAACGCTGCTTGTTTGTTTGCAAAACAACGCGGACTGAGCTACACCAGGGACATGCTGGAGGAGCTCCGATGTGTGGAGAAGAGGGAGGTCGAGAGGTGCATTCGCGATGTGCTGGGGAGGATCTTTGAGGTGGGACGGACGGGGTTTGTGATAACGTGTCCCGAGGAGAGGACGGAAGACATCGTGGAGGAGTTTAGCGAGATCGGGTTTGAGGTGGAGGTCAAGGCATTTGATTCTTTGTTGCTTGAGTCCTTTTCTGGTTTTTGTTGGGAATCACTCGCTCGAGAAAGGGATCGTTGGAACGAAAGCGATGGAATCGTATCAGGCATGTCTACAGCGATTACTCAAGAAGACAACCGAAGCGCAGAGTGAAACGAATGAGCAAGCTCGCCATTTTGATGGGCTGAAAAACGATGAATTCTCTGAAATGCGCCTCAAGGCGATTTGTAAGGGACTCGGGTTTATCTACTCTGTATCCAAGGATGAAACGGCCTTTAATACATTTGGAAATGATATCATTCAATGTTTTTACGATCTTAGCAAGGTATTCGCTTTTTTGCTATTTCTCGTGTAGACTTCACCGGAGCCGATTCGAAGATTATCGTTACAATATTTAGAAGTCGTAAAGAAGAAGTGGATCAATGTGCTCCAATCTGGTTATTGGAAAGCACGTGAGAATCCGGATCCACAAGAAGTCCTCGACGCTGCAATCATTTTGTACAGTTTGCAGTGTATCAGCTCAGATGTCGAGTTCGGCTCTGAGTTACAAAAATATGTGATAGCAGATAGTAGTGAATCGAAATACGGATCAAAGTAGGCATCGAAAATAATGTTCTTTTCCATCAGAACACGAATTTCGGTCATCGATCTTTTTGGTTGGAATGCGCGTGAGGAATCCATTCCGTCCAATGTCGTTGATCTCTGCACGTCCTGCCACAAGCGTTCTCCTCGTCGTAGCACGCAATGTCGTTTTTGTGGGAAGGAAGTGGTGGTGATTACTCCCTTCCGCGCTCTTTCAAACAGCTTAATTTACTCGTTCTATTGCCAGACCGCAGGGATCGAGTTGGAGTGTTCGTATGATGATTACCTGCGCTGGCTCCCTTCGCTGCGTCCTTACAAATCCCCGAAAGAGCTTCCATGGAGACACTTCGTGGACCAATGTTATCTGGTACGGTGTTGGGATGGGTCATGATGAGATCACGCATGTCGTGTTCACTTTATCGCAATGGGGTTCGCTGCGATTGCAGATCCAGCAGCTCCCTCATGAGTATTTGTTTGTTCGAGAATATCTCCCCTTGGTCTTACAAAAACACGATATCCACTTAATCGGCGAGTTCGTTGAATGCTTGCGAATCTTCGGCGTGGCCGAAAACGACTCGCTTATCACTAGCGGAGTTCGCTTTTTACTTGAGTCCCAAAACCAGGATGGGTCGTGGGACAACCAAATGACACAATTCGATGTGGATCTTGCCTATGTGGCGTATCACGCGACGATCGTGTCGGTGCAGGCGCTGGCGCCGCTTTTGTTTTCGGGGTTTGGGTGCATGAGCGAGAAAACGGAGGCGATCGTGGCGAGTTGGTACGCGAGCGAGGTAGAAACAGAGAAATCCGTCAAGTGTAGTTCTTGCGAGGCGAGCCGATTTCGTTGCCAGCATCGAATCGACAAAAGGAAGAAGAAGATGAAGATGAAGACGAAAACGAAGAACAAAAAGAAAAAGGAAAAGGGTTGAGTGCACGGGGATACAAAGAGGACGCGCGGCTGCGTGCGATGGATTGGAGCATCGAGTCCATTCGATCCCAACTCGACGCAGCGCTCTGCGCGCACTCCATGCGAGAGCTCGCCAAGCGATAGACTGTTTCTTGAAACAAACAACACACATAACAGTACAGCAACCTCTTGAAAGAGTGTCTTCAGCACGTTGCTCAAGAACAAACTAGCGATTTGACTCCAAGCGATAAGACGTACATTCACAGCTATATCAAAAACTGCCTTAACATTTTCCAGCGTCTTCGCACTACACTGAATAACATTCGCAGCGTGTATTTCCTTCGCCATTTGCTCCATCTACGATCGAGGGCGCGCATCGCACGTACCTCATCTAAAGAAACAACACATTTACTGTCGACTGCTGTTTTCTTCATGATTTCTTCGTCGGTCAGCAAGTCTTTTTTCGTTGCTACAAGAATTATAGGTACATCTCGTGTTTCGTCCGTCCAGTAGGTCGTCAGTTCCTTATACCACTGTGAATAACATGAAAAAAAGCGAACCAACCTTTCGTACATTTTCAAACGAGATGCGACTAGGTTTAAGAGAAGCAACAAACCGTACTCCACACATGAAAAAGCTATTAGAAAAATGTCAGTACCAGAGTAGGAAAGTGGTCGGAGCTGGTCATAACCCTCTTGACCTATTACAAATTAAAAACGGATGCACAGAGAGTTACCGGAGGTGTCCCAGAGTTCGAGACTGGTGGTTTTGTTACCAACGTAGAGTTCCACACGGTAATTGTCAAAAACTAGTATAAACATGACTTCCGGGAATCAGTTACTTGTTGGAATATAATCGGTTGGAAACTGATCCGTTGAATATGAAATGAGCAGACAAGTTTTTCCAACTGCTCCGTCTCTAAAGGAATAACGCTCTCAACAAAATACTACCCAACGATCACGCATTTGTTATTAGGAGTCTCAGCCATGTTATCCCTTTTCAGATTTGGGAAAAAATGGTTTTGCATATCTTACCGGAAAAACCGCGATTTGTGCGCTCATGTTTAATACAACTTTCGTACTTTATTTGAACGCAAAATCAAGCCTCACAATGTGTATAGAACAAAAGGATGCATATCGAAATAGGTTTTGCGTGGGATTGACATTAAACGTTCTTCACATAGTATTGTTTGCTTATCCACTGAACATAATACAGGAGGAAGAGAATAGGGAGGGAAATAACAAAAAGAGTTCTGTATCGTTAATTAGATAAATCAAAAGATAATACAATACACGATAAGAGTACGACGAGTTAAACAGAATAGAGTACAGGAATGATTGAAACGCAGTGGAGCGGAACCTATCATTCGCGAGAGAAAATCAAATTTCCTACAGACATACTGAGCAACACACAGAGATGAGAAAGGCGGGTAATAATAGATACATAAAAAATGCACGAAGAGGGACTCGAACCCTCGAGTGCGAACACATTACGGCCTTTACGTAACCCCTTGGACCACTCGGGCATCCGTGCTCTGAATTTGGTCACGAAAGTACCTACTTGATTATAGGAAATAGGGGGTTTCTATGGATTGTGGAATTATTTTTGTTGCAGAGTACCCTTGGAATTAGAATAGAGTGCATAATGGGTAGACTCAATGATTAACAACTAAAGAGTTCGATTGGTGTCAAACAAACAAGACTATGCCACAGTGATGCTCCTCTTTGAAGAATGCTGCTCGGCCTTGGGAATGTGGAGCTTGAGAACTCCGTTATTGTACATCGCAACAATATCGTCTGTCTTGACATTCGAAGGCAGCGATATTTCTCTACGGAAACTACCATAGTGGCGTTCCATAAAGTGAACCTTATCCTTCTCGCTCGTTTTCTCTTCCTTTCTCTCTCCCTCGATCACGAGGATGTTGTTTTCGGTTGAAATCTTGATATTCTCCTTCTCCATTCCAGGAATATCGACACTGAGCTCATAGCCCTTCTCGCTCTCGCGCATATCCATTCTTCCAAATCCTGAATAGGGTGTAATCACATCACGACGAAGCCTCTTTCCAGTGGTCATGGAAGTTTCCTTCTCGTCCTCTACAGGCATTGGTCGAGAATGCGATAGAGGCATCGGCCAGTGGTTGGCCATCAAGTCCTCAAAACCATCAAAGAAGGGATCTCTCAGAATAAAACTCATAGGAAATTATGAGCAACCACTGAGGAAAACGTCATTCATCTTCGTGGGCTGTTCTTCACTTCTCAAACCATGAGGCCAATTGCCATCCAAATAATCGCGGAAAGTGTAGTTTGCTCAAAAACATGTATAAGCTTCGTTGTGCTGTTGAGATCGTTGTGAAAACTGATGGAATAGGTTCAGAATTATCACTGGGGTTGCCGTGGAGAGGAGAGTATTGTTGCCGAGTTAAAGGTACTTTTATACGCTCTCGTTGAGTTTGCAGAAGGACGACGATCCGAGTTTTGAGGTTTCGAAGGATCAGCACTATGCTGAATATTGGTAATTTTGGCTTACTTGATGTAACGAAGGTTTGGAACGCATGCAAGCGGTCCTTCTGAAATTTTGGTAGGTGACCACTACGAATTGTTGAAGTCTTTTATCGAGGTTTGCCGTTCTGCATGGCTTTGAGAGTAGGAACACCCGGAATGCCTCGGAAGCAGCATAGGAAAGGAAAAGCTGGAGCTCCCCTTCCTTTCGAAGGTGCTTTCTGTGGAGACTGCGCTTTCGATCCAAGCCCATCCCGATAAGAAGCTTGCGGAGTACCTGTACAAAACAAAGCCTGAGTTGTACAAGGACGACAACCACAAGCCCGAGATGGCCTATGCGCTCACTCCCTTCACTGCGATGTGCGGATTCCGCCGTGCTGAGGTGATTGTGCAGCATCTCCACGAGTGCACGTTCCTTCGCGAGCTCATCGGCGAATCGGAGTGTGTTGCGTTTGAAACCGCGATCAAGGAGGGCCAAGACACGAAGGCCGCTCTCCGCCGTCTGTTTTCTGCGTACATCGAAGCGGATCCTGCGCGTGCCAAGTCGGTGATCGACTCGGCGAAGCGTTTCTACGACGAAAAACGGGATCTTTCGTTCCTGGAGCGCTGGGTGCGTCGTTTGATGGACACTGTGCGACGCTGCAGGAGAACTAGAAATAACGCGTAGTATCCGACGGACGGCGGCGTGTTCGCTCCGTTTTTGCTGAACGTGGTGGAGATGAAGCCCGGCGATTCGATTTACATGGGCGCGGACATCCCGCACGCGTACCTGCAGGGCGAGATCGTGGAGAGCATGGCGTGCAGCAACAACGTGGTGCGCGCAGGCCTGACGCCGAAGGCGATCGACAAGGAGACGCTGCTGGCGATGCTGACGTACGAGTGTGGCGATATGGAGGTGCTGCGTCCGAAGCGAAAGGACGCGCATTACGCGGTGGTGACGACGCAGGCGAAGGAGTTCATGCTGGAGATCGTGGAGGCGAAGAAGGGGGAGAGCGTGGAGCTGCCGGTCGTGGACGTGCCGCGGATTGTGATCGGGTTTGCGGGGAAGGGACGGATGGAGTGGGGCGCGGAGTCGATCGCGTTGAAGTAAGAGAGAGAGACGCGGATGATGATGACGATTAGACGCGGATCGATTCTGTTCCAGACCGCGCAGAACGCTGCGCGGATCGTCGCGGAGGAGGACTTGCTGCTCTACGCCACGCGCGAGCGCACCGACCTCGATTGTTCTGTTTGTTCACAAACACGCCACACTCTCAATTCCTCCTCCGTCACCAGCTTCGCCGCCTCCAGCGCCGCGCAGACTTCGTCCAGCAGCTCCTTCGCGTGCGGCACGTCCAGCTGCAGCTCGCCGAGGCCCTTCCGCAGCCGCTTGAGTCCCAGCACGAGCTGGTGGTGCGGCAGCACGTCGCTCGTCGCGCGCTGCAGCAGCTGGATGCAGAGCGGGATGCGCTTCTTCTCGTCGTCCATGGCGATCTCGACGGCCTTCTTCACGAACTGGTGGAGGTAATACGGCGCGTCCAGCTCGGCCACGCAGCGCACACACTACTCCTCAGTCCCTCATCGATCCTCGACTTCGGCCGCGTCGTGGCTGTCGTAGAACTCCGCGATGGCATCCACCAGCAGCTTCTTCGTCATCTGAATGTCCTCCAGCGCGGCGATGCGCGCGCCCCAGACTCGCTCCATGTACTCGAACGAGTGCGGCATGTTCAGCAGCGTCTCCGTCATCGTCAGCACCTCCGCGCCGTACTCCTTCAGGATGAAGTCGTTCAGAATCGACGGAGGGAGCACCTCGTCGGTGATGGCGCGCGCGAGGAACTTGCTCAGGTCGTCGGCGATGTGCGGACAGTCCAGCTGCAGGTCGGACAGACGCTCGAACAGCTTCTCGAAGCCCTTCGTCACTTGGAACAGCGAGAGGTAGTGGCTGAATCCCACAGAGAACAAACGGGACACCAGCTCCTTCTCTTTGGAGCCCCGGTCGACAGCGAGGGAGATGGCACGCATCACCACTTGGTATCGGTAGAGAGGGGCATCCAGCTCTTCGATGCAGCTAGGGGTGAAAGGGCGGACGCGTGGCTACTATAGAATTTCCATAACATCGTCCGTGACAAAATATTCGCGCAATGCCTCGTCAATTTGAGTCTTGTACTCCTCCAGTGATATCGGTTCGTCCGATAGGGTTGAAACGCTATTTTCCTCCTTAACCTAGAGATTGGCAAAACACAAAACCGCTACGGTCTCGCCCTCCGCTGCTTCCGTTGAAGCATAGAGAACTTCGGACTCAATAGCAGCTTTTTCCTTGTTAGATTCCGTGTACTTTTCATGGATCTTCTGCATGCGATCCATAGATTTTTCTACGAATAACGAAAATCGAATCAAACCCGACGAGATAACCGATTACGAAGAGTTGACTCCATCACTTATTACGTACTTTGATAAATTAGGACGGGGTCTTTAAAGATTGCTTACAGTAAAAATAGACGTGAAAAAGTATGCGTTTAATACTAGATCCATGCATTTGATTTGTGGAATTCCGGAAATCGTCGAACTTCCATTGCACACAATGGAACAATGGAATAATTATGCATAATTCCGCTTGGGGTGTGAGTAGCAAAGGCTACGGCCGAAGAGACACAAAGGTAGATCTCTCAATAGGTACGTTTTTTTGCAAACATGCAATGGATACCATACATATAATTATCCCAAAACCTTTACGTTTTTACAAACGAGAAACAGGGGTAAAAGGATTGGTGATCATTTCCTCCGAAAAGAAAAAAGCGCCGAGAAGGTGGATCGAACACCTGACCTTATGATCTTCAGTCATACGCTCTCCCAACTGAGCTATCTTGGCTCCTGTTAATGTTCCAAAAGAAGACAAGTTGATGTCTGGTAATCACACTTGGTATTAATTAACGAAAGCTGATCACAAAAAAATGAGAAACTGCAGAACCAGCAAGATCGACGGCCTTGTCGACATTTACCGCAATCCTCAGGATGGATTTGACCCTGAACCTACAACCATTCCTTTTGTTAGTGTGTGACAGTTTTTTCATTTTTAGGAGTTTCGCAAGAATTGTCGTGAGTGGAATGAATGGCCTGCCATCGTAAGCAAGGAGGATGTTACCTATTCTTACATGGATTACTACAACAACTCCATGAAGTAGATTTCGGACCTATCTGATGAATCAGGTTTGCCAAGTCGTTGCTGAAGCTCGGCTTAAATAAGAAGGACGTTTGCGGCATAATCGGCTTCAACTCTCCCGAGTACTATTTTTCCCTCCAAGGCACCTGGATGGCTGACTGCGTTACTGCTGGAATCTATACGACGAACTCTCCCGAGGCCTGCGAATATGTACTGAAACATTCGGAGGCCAAGGTGTGTGTGTGCCAGAGCGGCAAATCAGCGATGAAAATCTGCCAGATCCGCGACAACCTTCCGCTCCTGAAGGCGATCGTGGTGTATTGGCCGGAAGACGACATGCCCTCGCTTGAGGACAAAGAAGGCGTATTCGATTGTTTTCGTCTCGGTCTCACACGCAGTTTGCAAAACTCTATACATGGGACGATTTTTTGAAGATCGGCAGCGATCTTCCTGATTCCGATGTCGATGCTCGGATCGACGCTTGCCAGCCCGGCAGCTGCGCCACCCTCATCTACACCTCCGGCACGACTGTAATCGAACGGAGCGGTTTCAACGCCAGGGCGAGCCGAAAGGTGTAATGTGTTCGCATGATGGCTGCATGTGTCAAGCGGCGAACATCCGCTACTACCTGCAGCTGAACGACGAGGACCGCTTCGTGTCCTTCCTCCCGATGAACCACATCGCTGCGCAGTACGCGGACACGATGGTTCCCGTACGCAATCGCATCACGATGTACATGGCGCGTCCCGACGCACTTCGCGGATCGTTAGTCCAGACGCTCCAGAAGGCCAGACCGACCTTCTTCGTGGCGGTTCCGCGCGTGTTCGAGAAGTTCATGGAGGCGATCCGCGCGAAGAACGCGCAGGCCTCGGTAGGAAAACCGCGGGACTGAGACGTAGTACGTGAAGCAGCTGCTGATCGCGTGGTTCGAGTCCATCGGGTACTACGCGTGCCGGACGCGGCAGTACGGCCAGACGTTCACGCCGCCGTACTTCTACTGGCTGGCGAAGCGTCTGGCGTTCGACAAGGTGAAGGAGACGCTGGGGCTGGATAAGTGAGGCTACGCGGCGTGAGTGAAGCGTAGAACGCGGCTAGTGATCGTGTCGGCGGCGCCGGTGACGGAGGAGACGCTGAACTTCTTCGCGTCGTACGACTTCCCGCTGTACGACCTGCTGGGGCAGTCGGAGGGCACGGCGCCGATCTGCACGAACACCTTCGTGGACCAGCAGTGGAAGCTGGGGACCGTGGGACGCGCGCTGCGCGGCGTGGAGGTCAAGACGGACCCCGACTCGGACGAGTTCTGCTACCGCGGGCGGAACTGCATGATGGGGTGGGAGTGATCGGGGTTTGTGAGTGCAGGTATCTGAAGATGGAGCGGGAGACGAACGCGGCGATCGACGAGGACGGCTGGCTGCACTCCGGCGACCAGGCGAAGATCGACGCGGACGGGTTCGTGCGCGTGACCGGGCGGCTGAAGGAGCTGATCGTGACGGCGGGGGGCGAGAACGTGTCGCCGGTGCCGATCGAGAACAAGGTGATCGAGCTGTGTCCGCTGATCTCGAACTGCGTGGTCGTGGGCGATCAGAGGAAGTTCCTCTCCGCGCTGATTGCTCTCAAAACCGAGGTCGACCCCGCTACGGGCGAGCCGTCGAGCCGAATCGCGGCGTCGATGGTGGAGAGCTTGAGGAGTCGCGGGAGCAAGGCGACGACGGTGCAGGAAGCGATGCAATGCCCGGTGGTGAAGCAGTGGATCCAGGACGCGGTGGATGGGTACAACAAGGTCGCGATTAGCAGAGCGCAGGAGATTCGCAAGTGGACGATGCTGGAGCAGGATCTGTCGCTTGGAAGAGGAGAGCTGACCGCGACGCTGAAGATGAAGCGGAATGTGGTTCATCAGCATTATGAGAAGGAGATTCAGGCGATGTATGATGAGTGGAGTGTTTGTGGAAAACAAGAGAGCAAACACAAGGACTATCGACTGGAATAGCGACGTACCAGTCCACTCGCAGATTGATAGGAAGCATTTTCCGATTTCTTCGCAATCAGCAATCCGCTTCCTCTAATATTACACTGGAGATCGGTGATGTCGATCCTCTCTCCGTTCGATGAATCGAAATTACTAGCAATGACCTAATACCAACAAAACCTACTCTGAATGCATGGAGTAGTTGCTCTGAAGTTCTTCTTCATTTTTAAAAACTTTACAAGGGGTTATATAGTGAAAAGCCTTTCTGCACTCAGGACAGTGATTTGAACTCTTAAAAATAAAATTCGGGCGAAATACACTACCTTTGACCACTGCTTAATACAATCTAGACAAAACGTATGCTTGCAGCAATCAATTCTTCCACCTTCCGTAATTGTGTTGAGGCATATTGCTATTCAGTTAAGTACGTGTCCGACAACATACGACAGCAATCATCGACAACAATTGGGCATTCTTTGTAGAAGCCGAAAATTTCTCCCAATAAATGAAATAACGACATGTTGTCGTAGAAAAATAGAAATAGCGAAAAAAGATAGCAAAAAACACAAAGATAGCAATTGAAAATGATCTAACTCAACCATTCGTAAGTTCCGCGGTTTTGGTGCTCATTGAAAATGCACATTGCAATACAATGTAGGTAAAATTGTTAGAAAGCATGTGTTGCACATTATAGGGATCTCATGCAACTGCAAAACACTTTGTGTACATTGAAGTCATTTTGCTATTTTTGCCTAATAATGGGTGAATATGAATATGCTCATTTATAGTAACTTATTGGGAGTGTAAACCTTGTGAGAGGAGCAGGATTTGTATATTTTTTAACGTGAAATAACAAAACCATTTTTGCGTTATTACGCCTTTCTAGTTTTATTTTTGGGAATTTATTATAGAGTGGATGAAGTGGATTTAGCAGGTGTTCATTATTCTTAGGACACAACAGTAGATTTGTTGTTTGTTATATTTATAGTCGGGTATCAGATTATGTTTCTTCTTGCTACAGTGTATGATTCATGATTCCTAAATGATGGAACAGATGATCATAGATAATGACACTATTGTTATATGGGTATGCATAGAAAGGATGAGAATAAAAGAAGAAAGCAACCTAAGAGTGTCTGTGTTTGAAAGCTAGTTACATTGTTGTCAAGGAAGATAGCATTTACAAGACAGAATAAATCAAATATAGGATGCAATAACAAAGTCGAAGCATTTTACAATTCAAAATTGGTGATGGATGCTTGCTTCTAAAGATCTCCACTCATTCTCTTTCCCTCGTAAATTACAGCAAAATCTTCCGAGAGCATGCATACATGAACAGATATCTACATAAAATCTCAAAGAGATCCAATGTCTTATTCTAAGCCAACTCCATTCATTTCAATAGCCACCAGTACTCTCTTCGCTAAGAGACTACTCACGATTTGCTATCTACATGCATCATAATATTCTCCATTATTGTTTTGACCCCAAAATCTTTTCACATTATTTCTGTTTATGGAGTTTTCTGCTGTGTATCTTTTTTCTTTTCTCGTTAATCCTAGTTCTAAGAGAATCCTTGCACCGAAAACTGCTGAGGTGAGCGGTGCACTAACTTCGGAAGCTTTTTCTGCGGATAGTAATGAGCCGGCGTCGAAGCGCCCTCGTGTCTTAACAGTTGCGGAGAATGTTCTCTGCTGGGAACATTTAAAGCCTCATCTTCAAGAATTCTCGCGCCTTCATCCTGACGACAATATGTACCTTTTTTCTCTACTATCCAGATGTAGGTATGCGCCCAGTTACGATGGTCGCGCCTACTTGAAGAAGAGCTTTGCGCACTACCTCTCTTCTCATGTTTTTAAAACGAATGTTTCCGAGAAGGATGTTTTGGTTATCTCTGGATCTGGAGCTGTTATGGATGTAATGGGAACTGCCTTGTTGAACCCTGCTATGGACGGAAACAAGTCGGATGCGTTTATCTGTATCGTTCATATTGCCTGTTGTCTCTCTAGGCATCACTCCGTGCTACAACTCGTTTGAGAACAACTTCACTCTGCGAACGGGCGCCGTGATGTACGGCGCCGACACGATGAAGAACAAGTATCCCTTCTTTGTTGTCCTTTCACCTAGTTACGTTGTCACGGATGCGATTCTGGAAGAAGCCTATCAGAAGGCCGAAGCGGATGGCCGCAAAGTGAAGCTCTTGGTGTTCACAAACCCGAACAATCCCACGGGCACCGTGTACTCGCTGGACGAGATGCGGACCGTCCTTGCGTTCTGTCGACGCCACTCCATTCACTTGGTGCGTTCTGGGTGCTCCGCAATGAGATCGTAGCTGTCCGACGAGATCTACGCGCTCTCCGTGAAGCCGCAATCCGCTGCGGTCGGCTCTTTGCGCTCGCTGGGTGATTCGTAGAAGGCCGAGAGCGAGAACGCGTTCGTGTCGTTCGCCAAACTGATCGAGAATGACCCCATTCAGGACGATGTCTCCATCGTAGGCGTTTGGAATCGCGTGTTCTGGGCAGTTGTGGGGATTCAGCAAGGATCTCGGACTCTCCGGGTTCCGATTGAGCGTGCTGGTGACGCGGAATCGCAGTCTGCACACCGTGCTGAACGAGCTCTGCCACTTCTGCGAGGTGCCCGCGAACACGCAGAGCTTCGCTGCGAATGTGGGGGCGAGGAGGAGATGCGAGGTAGATGCTGGACGACGAGGCGTTCATGAAGGAACACGTCGAGATCTTGCAGAAGCGCGTTCTGGAGATGCGGCAGCTGATGGAGAAGGAGCTGACGCGGATGAAGATCCCGTTCTGCAAGGGCTATGCGGGGTTCTTCTCGTGGATCGACCTGCGCGCGTATCTGAAGGAAGACTCCTTCAAGGGGGAGCAAGAGCTGTGCAGATTCCTCTACGACCACGGAAACATCATCGTCGCGCCCGGCAGCAAGTACCACGCGAGCCAGTTCGGCTGGTTCCGCTGGATCTTCACCTGCTACGAAGAGGAGGGCATGCGGAGCGCCCTGCAGGGCTTGGAGAAGGCGTTGAAGGAGCGTTCGTTCGGTGTTTGTTTCATAAAAAACAGCTCATCACATCTTTACAAAGTGTTCTTTCTCTTATTCACAAGCGGCGTGTTCTCGTTCGCCTTCACCTTGGCTCTACGCACTCGGGAGTAGGTGTTGTCCTTCTTCTTGTTCTTGCAGCAGCAGCAGCAGCACACGATGAGAAGGATGACCACCAGCAGCGCGCCGCCTCCGATCAGAGCGTACATCATCATCTTGTTATCTCCGGGCGTGGGCACGGGCGTGGTGGGGGCCTCGGTGGGCGTCGGCGTGGTGGGAGCCTCGGTGGGGACCGGGGTCGTGGGCACGGGCGAAGTGGGAGTCGGGGTGGTAGGAGTGGGCGTCGTGGGCGTGGGAGTGGTAGGAGTAGGGGTAGTAGGAGTCGGGGTCGTGGGAGTAGGCGTGGTAGGGACGGTAGTAGAAGGAGCCTCGGTGGTAGGAGCCAAGGTCGTAGGCTCGGTAGACGGAGCGATGGTGGTGGGCTCCGCGGTGGGGGCCAAGGTCGTGGGCTCCGCGGAAGGAGCCAGCGTGGTGGGAGCAGGAGACGGCGTGGACGTCGTGTTCGACGCCTGCAGCCAGAAGGGCAGCGACGAGCAGCCCGTGGCATCCTGGTAGGCAGCCTGAAGGTTCCAGTCCTCCATCGCCAGCGTCAGAGAGTTCGACGCAAAGGTGGCGGACATCGTCATGGACTGGCCGATCACGGCCTTGGCGTCAGCGAACGGGTCCTTGCCTTCGCTGTCCGTGCACTGGAGCGATCTAGACCATCGAGGAACACGCCAACGCATACTCAACATCGTAGATCTTTCCAGCCTCAATAGGCTGGTCGCACTTGAGGCCCTTCTCCATCATAATCGATATCTTCACAGACACCTTGTTCAAGGTGGCCACATACTGCTTTTTCACATCATTGGAGGCAACGAGGGAGGTATGCAGAATAAAAGCAAGAACCTCAGTGTCGTCAATGCACGCATCTCCAACGAACGTATCCAGAACCAAATCCATGGCAACCGGATCAGAGCTAGGAGTGCCATAAAGGGTAACATTACCCATAGAAGCTAACGTTCACACACAGAAATGAGTGGTTACAAACAAATCCGGAGGTGGTGCAACCCGTAGAATAAAAACCGCAAACTACAAAATCACCTCAGCATACTGACACGCATACAATGCTCTTCCTCACTCTTTAAATATGACTTAACTCCATTGCTCGACTTCAATGTCTCCAAGGCCTTTGAAAACGGCGACAATATAGTAGAAGAAGTAGCAATAGCCACTAACAGAACTGTAAAAACCCAAGACTTGTGGAACATAATAAATAATGAAGATTCTGTGTTGTGTGGTTTATGCAGGGGGGTTTCGTTTGACTCAGTGTTTTGATTTTATGTTCGAAATTCACAATTATATTTTGGGTGATCGAAGAGCATATAGTTTGACTCATTCTCACACCACACAAACACTTTTACGATAACTCAAATATTTTTCCAAATGAATGCTTTCAATGTGCTGGATAGGTCGTTATTCTCCACATCTCTGAAACTAATCGCTTTGTCTGTGAAAAAGGAGGAATGTGAGTGTCTCAGGTCTATTTTCACTTGATGTCTGACAACCAGATCCCTCATTGAGCCATTCCTATTGAAATTCCCGCGTAAGAGGAATATAGTTCTTGACCAAGACGAGCCATCGAGAAGACTGCTATTACTGGATCAACATATATCAGATCATTCGTTGAACCAGCTTCCAGAGTCTATTAGAAATGCTATTCGGAACTTGAATAGTGTTCGCGTGACAGATTATTCGCTTGACCTAGATTACGATTATTATACGGCTTCTGAGGTTTTCCAAAGTGCTTCTTTTGACATAGGTTTTTTCCAAAGTACTCCCACCAACGTGCATGCCTCCTACATCGTATGAAAAAGTCGGGTCTCTTTTGCATGTGAACCTTCTGGATGAGCAACTTCCTTATAAACATCTTATTGGGAGTGTCTTGCTTGACAAAGTCCCTCAATGCAGAACGGTAGTCAACAAGATCGGAAAAATAGATACCGCATTCCGAACTTTTGACATGGAAGTGCTTGCCGGTGAAAACAACACTCACGTGTCGCTCAACGAAAATGGCTGTCGCTACGATTTCGATTACAGCCGCGTTTACTGGAACTCGCGTCTCCACCACGAACATGCACGCCTTATCAAATCATTCTCTCCTTCAGACATCGTAGCTGATATGTTCTGTGGAGTGGGTCCGTTTTCCATTCCTGCTGCAAAGAAAGGATGCACAGTGTACGCGAATGATCTGAACCCTTCTTGTTTTTACTATTTGAACCGAAACGTGGAGAAAAACCACGTACGACCAGTGAGTGCTTTGCAGTGATCGCTAGGTGGCAAAGAGAATCACCACGTTCAATCTCGATGCAGCCCATTTCATTGGGTTGCTTCTCTCCTCAAACATTCGCATCACTCAGATTATCATGAATCTGCCTGCTTCTACAGAGCAGTTTTGCTCCGCCTTGCAGGATCGCTTCGTCGTATTCCAAGCCTTCTCTGTGCTAATGCTTTTAGAACTATTCGCATTTGCCTCCCACGATTCATTGCTATATGTTTAGTACGAGTCAGAGTCCAGTCCAGGACTGCATTCAGGTAGCGAACGGAGCGGTTGGTGATGCGTCTAGCGATTGGAGCGAGCGTTTGGCCGCCCTTTGTATCCTGAAAACGTGGAGGGTCGCGTGGTTCGCGATGTGTCGCCGAAGAAGAGAATGACGCTGATTTCGCTGCGATTGCCCTATTGAATGCGTGTGATTTTCAAAAAAGTGGGCGCGAGGCGGATGGCTTCAAGGGTTTTTGCTTGGCTTCGGGGATGTGAATCTTCCCATCGTTGAATCGTTGTGCCAATTTTTCATTTCGGATTTGATTCGCACAGGATCATAATATAGAGGGAAAACGATTCACAGGGAATGATCGTTTGGGTACAGCACTCATTGCAAGGACTTTGTTTCAACAAATGAATTAGAACTATTTCATATTTGATAACTACATCCTCAATTTCTTCATAGAAACTTACCCGTTCTTTCACTTCATTTACATGCTCCTCATTCTCACCTGAAACGTCCGTAACACCATAGGGAGGCGCAATGGTAACATCTCCATCAACAATAATCGACTCTTCCTTCCATTCGCACACGCCACTAAAACTAAGCAGCAAAGAGAACTAGAACAGCTTTGACAAATAGGCAAAGACATAATTGCCATACGGAGAAGTCTTTGGAATCTTTCGGGAAAGTACTTCCTGTTCCATCGCCTTCTTCAAGTGAGTACAAAACCAGATCACCTACTTCCTTTTTACTAATCGAATGGTATGAAACGCTTGGAAGTACGATCTCGTCCATCTTTCCTTTCTTAATCACTTTTACACTTTTAATATAATCCGTTTTGAGCATCACTATATCGTAGTCCTGTGCACCATCCAATTTCTTTCCTATTCGTCAAGGAAGCGAAAGGAAGGAAAAAGAGAGAAAAAGGATATTTAGTACGATAATTCCAGAATTACGATCATAGCAATATATCTCACCACTGATAGTTTCATTGAACGTTGTGACTACTTCAATAGTGTTGCCAATCTGTGCTGGACTTATATTCATATCCGTTCTATACCGTAACGATGAATATCACAGAAAATTACTGGTTCGTGGTGTCAAAAACCGGATAGTAGATGAGAATAAGACTACCCGAATTTAAGCTGTGCCGCGGTTAATGACTCCATTTTGAGGAGTAGATTTTGCTGTCGATTCGGATATTGTTTGACTATCTACACCAGAATGTTAGAAAATAGATTCTATAGGCTTTCTTATGCAACATCTCAAAGATTGGCTTTCATTCAAACGTCATCAACTTTGCTCTGTCCTGTGTAGCGTAGGAATAATCTCATTACGAAAACAAAATTCGATTCCTTTACGATTTCAGCCTTTGAGGATAATCACAAAGGAGGATTTGTCTCTTTTGCTTATAGACCATTGGCATAATAGTGAGTTGGGAGCATACTGCATGTAAATATATATTTACATAAGTGAAAGCTGATATAGTAACATCGTATTATTACTACGGGTGGTTTCCTGACGAGACATCCTAATTTCTGTCCCCTCCTCATATTTCTTTCCCTCCTCCAACAACGAAATCACGATCCATATCTCAACAAACAATCCATTCACCCTTAATCTCTCTTTTCCTTCTCCCCAGCGAACAAAAACACAAACACGAAACAAACAAATCCGGCCATGACCACCATCGTGCTACGTCTAACCTTCTTCTCTCTCTCGCCCCTACTTGACATAGTAAGGATAAGCCGCCAGAATAAAGCGAGGGAATTCGTTGTGCTTGAACGGCCGGATGCTCACCTGCGTATTCTCGTTAATGAACGAGACTCCTTGTCTCTGGTAGAAGAGTCGGAACTTGTACACTCCGTACACATCGGGTACATGAATGATCTGCATCGTGACTCGCTCTCATCGACCTACCGTCGAATAGTCTCCATTGTCGTGCTCCTCCACATAGGTGAGATTCTGTCGAATATAAGGGTTGAGCATGACGAACTCGAGCTGCAGATCGTCGGTCTGCGCGTCACTTCCTTTCCCTTCGCTCACTTTGTAAGGCTTCCACTCGCTCCCGTCCCACTCCTGCACGTTCACCGAGTACCACAGCTCGTCCTTCACGCGGTACACCACGTTGTTGCCCGCCACCTCCGGCCGGCCATAGCTAGGAGTGAGGAGAGCGTGACAAAACGCACTGAGAGGTGGGGAGGTTGGGCTGTTGAACTTCCTGCACCAGGATTTCGTGGGTGGGCTCGATGCGGTTTTCGGCGCGGATGTACTTCGCGTGCTCGATGTTCTGCACGCGGAGATACCCGGCGAGCTTGCAGAGCCCTGCATAAGAGAGAGAGAAGGGACGTACAGAGAGACAGCTGGTCGCCCAGGACTTTGTTATCCGGATTCTCCGCGTAGAACGCGTCGCTGAAGAACGCCAGAGAGCCGGAGAGCACGAAGCGGTTGTTGTAGCGAGTCTGCACAGCGGCGATCAGCGTGATGCCTCCGGCCGAGTTCTGGCTGGCGCCTTCGCTCGAAAGCGAGGTCGTCGCGTAGTCGCCCGAGACGATGGGCATCGCCAGCACGTTGTTGGGGTCGATTCGCAGACCGTATCCTTGGTAGGTGACGGAGCCAGAGCGAGTGGCCAGATCTCCCACCAAACGGGAAATCTACAGATGACTCCCAACGGCAGAGCAAAGACCTTCAGGTAATTCGTCGTCTGGAACTTCGTGTGGCGGATGTTGCTCGCGTCGGGAACAGCCGTGAAATGATCGACAACACTGCTGCCCTTAGGATCGATTTCAACGCCAGCGTATCCAGCGAGAGTACGAACGAAACTCGAAGGATCGCCCGAAAACATCACAAAAATATCGCCATGGAAGTCTAAAAAGCTGCGGAAGGCCTTGGCATTCAGACTACTGTACTTACTATCCGAGTTGACCATTAAAATAATGTTGTCATATTTGGACTCTCCATACTTCACGATTTCAAAAGAATCCTCCAGAACAAGGAACGTCAACTCACATCCATGGTCTGTACAGTTAAATGCAATAGAAAATCCAGGTACTTTTCAGATTGGAGAAAAACTGAGAGTGAGTGCGCTCGAAGCTCATGTCCTCTAAAAGAGCGAGAACCCTCTTTCCTGGAACTGGATAAACGGTTGCAAGAGTAGTCGCAATAACAAGAAGCAAGAATACAGTCTTCATAATGAGAAATGAACGTTTTGAACAATGCAGAAATCGGGAGGAAAAACGGAATTCCAACAAACAAGGGTAAATCAAAACTGTCCTGCATTTTTGACAAACAAACGACGATGAAGGATTTATGAAACCGCCTACATGTCAGCAAAATAGCTATTACACCGTACAATAAGCACACTCAAGACCGCCAATAGAAAAAGGGAAATTCGATCGTTTTTTAGACTTCTTACTTCCATATCGCGTGTGCTCTGCATAAGTTGCATCCGAAACACTTCGAGTGTAGGGAGGAGGCGAGTGGGAGATGGGAGAATGGGAAGCGGATGTCGGAGGCAGGGAGGCTTGTGGATAATTGGCGGACAGACGCAAATGAGGCGGGGGAATGAGGAGGTCATTCATCGGCTTTGCAAATGCTGTGTAGGGAGAACTCGCCGTGCTGGAGGCGAGAAGATGTCTGGATTCGGGGAGATCGCGATAGGAATGCTCTTCCGAGAGTCTACCGATCAGGAAGCGAACGGGCAAAAGAGAACCGCTTCCATTGAATCACGATGATGGTGAGCAGAAAGAAAATCACGACGATGACGCCGGTGATCATAACGGTCCGAAACACGGACGTGTGCATCGCCAATTGGTTGGGATTGCTCCACATGTGCCGATCGATGGGCTCCGTCACGAGTCTCTCTGGGCGTTATCGACAGAGAGAAAAAAAGAAGTACCATTGTCTCGCTGAGGATGAGCCACTTCGCACTGGAGAAAAACGCCGAAATGCTGGACGGCGGGGGAGAGAGGAATGCTGCCCATGCCCCCCATGGCAGATTGATGATGGTTGATCGCGTTGGTGAGGAGGATGTGACCTACGATTGATCGGAGAGCAACAAAACGCAGGAATACCTTTGCGATCAAAAACGCTGCAGTAGCTGACGCCATCAAAATTGCTGGTAATTCCGATTTCCAAGAAAGAGGGATACAAGGATACATGGTTGACAGAGTATTGAAAGGATTCAGGCTGCATCGGCTCTTTCCGATAGCCGCTTTTATCAAAATACAAGCGAGATCGTTTTGAGATGCGATTCGATTTCGCGAGTGATTCCTCTTCGCGTTGATTGAAATCCATCGGAATGCGCAATAACGAATCACTCAGCGCGTTCGCGCGATTCTCCAATTCATTCCTTCGCTGCTGTCCATCGGATCGAGGACTGGAATTCACAGGAATTGTGTTCTTTAAAACGTTTTCTCGCTCCTCTTTACGCAGATTGGAGGGAGTAGGATTGCTCATTGGCTTTCCTCCCTTCCCCGATTCTCCTTTGCTTGGATTGGTCGATATCCTGGGATTACTTTTGAAAAGGCTTTTGTCTCGGTTGACAATATTCTGAATTTCCGAGTTGATTTCACTGTACAATTTTGCCAAGTTTTTCGCTTTTCGAGCCACTTCTTCAGGATCCAATTTACGCTTTTCTTGCCTTTTCTCTTCCTTTTCGATGCTTTTCTCTTTGTCTTCTTCTTGGATTTTGTCTTCGTCTACCATCGTATCGTCATCCACACGATTCATTTTGTTCGATTCTTCTGCTGCAATCTCGTCTCCTATCACAAGAAGCGCTTTTTTATCGATCGTTCCTACTCCTTTTGGTTTCTTTTGATTCGCTTCACTTTCGTCTTCTGGTTTCTTTTTAGCTTCTTGGTCTTTCTCAGCTTCCATTTCAGCTTCTGTGGCACTTTGAGTTTCGTCTTCTGGCAATATCAACTTTGATTTTGACTTCAACTTTGCTAACAGCTCTTCATCCATCTCGTTTCCATTTGATTCTGTTTCACCTGCTGCTCTTTCTACTGCTGTTTCACCTTTTCCTGTTTCTACTGCTGTTTCACCTTTTCCTGTTTCTATTTCTGCTTCTTTTCCTACTTTAGTTTCTCCTTTTATCTCTCCATTCGAATCCTTTAGATTCTTCATTTCAATACCATTATCATTATCATGCTTGTCATTATCACCATTATCATTATCATCACTTTGAAGAGAACTACCAATAGTACGACTGGTACCAGTCTCAGAAAAACGAGATGACTCTTTCGAATGTTTCATACCTCTACTAGCTCTTGTTTCTACGGGTGTTAACTCCAAAACATCATCTCGATTATTACTTACGTCAGACCTTGCAGGAGATCTGCCTTCTTTCATTTCTAAATTCTCCATAAGATACTCTGAGTTCGCAGAATGTTTGGTCAATTTCGGATCTTCATTCACACGATTCTCATCATCGTTTTTATCTTCTGCTCTACGTTCCAAACCATTGCCTAACTCTATATGTCAACATTAAAAATAGGCGCCTACCTGGATTTTCTTCTTTTCTCTCACTACTGTTACAACTACTTGAAACCAACCTCTTTGAAGAATGAATATTATTCAGATTATCATCATTTTTACATCTCAATTTTGTACAACTCCTTTTGTCAACACATCCTTTACCAACAGGCATAAATCCAGAAAGCTTCGCATCGTATCCATCCTTACATTCGGAATTCCCTTCTAAAGTTACAAACGAACCCATAATACTCACTATTTTTAGGAATTACTCTGGGTGAAGATATTACGGGTTCTGATGCATCTATTTTCCTTGAACGAATAGATTCATATAAGTCTTCGGGAGATCCATGTACTGTTACTGTACAAAGTACTATTCGTCACAGAAACACGCATTTTGTTACAAAAACATAGTAGTAGCACGCTGTTATATGCGCTTATAATCATAAGAATTCCATGCTACTCTAACAGCTCAATCCAGAATTAACCCGCGGTTATTCGGTTACTTTCATTTTTACAGAACAAATGTCCTCCTTTCGGAGATTTGCCCCGATTTCCGCTCAGAGATCGATTCCTAGTGGCCCGAAACTCTCTGGGACAAAATCATGGCTCTATGGGCAAAGTCTCATTTCCACTGGATGCAAAGATTTGGACACTGCTCTCGGTTCCGGGATTCCTTTGGGGTCCATTGTTGTTTTATCGGAGGAACTATTCTGCTCTCAGATGAGAACCTTCGAAAAGTTGTTTGTTTCGGAAGGTATTCGCTCTAAGCAACGAGTTCTGATCATTTCTTCTCTTCCCAAAGATGAGGTGGATGATTTTCTAACAAAGATGCCTGCACTGAAAGAAGTTCCTGAGCCAACGAAAAAGGAAGCGCCAAAGTCTGCATTCAGGAGTCTCGAGTCGTCGTCCTTGCAACCCATCTTGCCCAAGTATGCCAGTATGTGTGTCTTTTTTCAGGTTTACAGTAGACGCTGTAGATTCGGTTGAATTTTGCCATGGCTTCGATTTGAGTAAATGGGAGCAGGATATGTCATTATTTTCGTCTGTGGTGATCGTTCATGTGGATAATGACCCCGCTTTCTTCGTGAAGAAAGTGATCTCAGCAGTCCATTCGTTTGTCTCCCTCTGTTCGAAAGAATCTGTTGTGGGTCGAATTATATTGGATGTTGCAGAGATCCTCGGGCAGGACGTAAAAGCGTTCTCACGTTTGATACCGATAGGAACGACTGCAAATGGAGCTGTTTTCACGACTTCCCTCCCTTCTTCGCTCCAGCAACTGCGTTTTGCTGACACTCCTTTTGGGTGAGCTGAACGGAATGAAAGCTCTCCGCTTCGCTAATTGTATCGTTCATCTTCAGCCTTGGCAAGGTACGATGCAGAGCGCTGCATAAACGTCAGACATCACGCCGCCGACCGAGTACAGAGACACAACGAGTCTGCTGCACGTTCTTCGGTTGCCATCGCAGCTGTCTTTGTATACGAATCCGAAGAATATTTTCATTTACGGAATCAAGCGAACAACACACTCGCTACGACTATCCGAACTGCGAATCCCTCCGCAAGGTCATTCATTAGAGTTGTTTTAGAACCTGTTTGAGTAGACACACGCTGGTTCGTGTAGAGTGCTAGCTGCTTGATCTTTACTCGTTCAGAGAGGGAAGGAATTAGTGAAACTTCGTATTCTGGTTGTTTGATGAATCACCCAAAACACAATTAGAGCAAATGTTGGCACAGCAAAAACTTGAATTTCGAAACATGACAACCGTGATGGTTTTGATCAGTTATCACTTATTTTTCTACATCACGGCCAATTTTTGAAATGATTTTGAAAGCAACACTAAGGCAGGGTGGCTCAGAAGACATAAGTATCAACATCGATGAAAACTCAAGCGTTGCTGATCTACGCAGTTTTCTGGCAGTATTCTATTCTTTTTTGATACAATGTTTAGCAACATGTTAACCGTGATGCTAGTCGTATTTCCATCTATGTTAATGGTTCTTCCGTGAGTGACGACTTGGGAATTCAAGAAACGGGCCTTCAGGATGGAGATACCTTTCAGTACAGCATAGCAACAAAAAAGCAAATCTATACGTTCAATTGGAATGGAAAGTTCATCAAGCCGGAGATTAATGTAGATTTATCGATCAGCGATGTGGAGGTACTGGTCTCGAATGTATGAAATCGAGTTTGCTCGTTGATTCGTAGAAGTTGCCGTTTCTGCGCAACATAGCATTTCAGATGCGTTGTGACGACTTCATCATCGATGACAAGACGAAATCGATCGGTGAATACCCCATATCAAACACCGATATCATTACTCTCGAAATTGTCGTAGTTGATGTCAAAGTGACTCTACCAACGGGCAACGAGAAAACCTACTCTATCCTCAAGAATAAAACAGTTCGCGATTTGAAAGAGCTCATCGCCGTATTCGTCTTAGCCTTAAATTCAGTTTTTTTAGACATCTCTCTGCATCGCTCCCAATTACCCCTATCTTTTAAACAACAGCGATCCACTCGACGACACCACCCCCATTCAGGCCATCGATCTGAGCACTGCATCCTTGTTTTGCTCCATTCGGATTCTGATTCAGCTTCCAAGCGGCGACTCCGTTCCGATTTTTTGGGATATCGCATCCAACCTGACGGCCACCGTTGATTTTCTCATCTCTGCGCTGATTTCTGTTAAAACTCGGGGTGGAATCCTATTCCGTAGAACCGGCACATTCAGCTCAGCCCAACGGACACTGTTTCTCTGTACAACCGCGGCGAACTCATCAGCCCCTCGCTCTCCCTGCTTTCCTTTTTGAAGGTCCGCGACAGCCAGATCGTAGCGAAGGTCTACAACCGCTACTCTAATCTCGGCCTCATGATCCAGCACAAAAAGCTGCGAAGAAGACTCGTTCTGACGCAGGACGTGACCGTGTCGCAGTTGAAGCAGTTCTGTTTGGTAGTGCTGCGCGGCTTTTCGATGACGGGCAGGACTTGTACAGCCTCAGCGCGCTCAACACGCGGCTTTATTACAACGGGTCGGAGATGGAGGACGAGAAGCTCGTGAGCTTCTACGGCATCGCGACCACGACGTTTCTCTTCATGACCACGGAGGAAGAAGTCCAGAAACTGTGTCGATCGCGAGCGGAACTGACGCGTAGAGAGCCGCAGGCGATCGACCAGGAGTTCCGATCGCTGGTTCGCGAGAAGGCGAGGAGCAATTCGCAGCTGCTGCACTGCGCCAAGTGGCTGCTGGAGTGCTTCGCCCGCGGGCTGCTGGCGCCGAAGGAGTTCGTGGCGTGCATCGGGGACATCTACCGATGGATCGCGGGCTGCAAGGACGCCGCGCTGATCACGCTGCTGGCGAAGATTCTGTGCCGGCTGTTCGAGAGTAGCGATGGAAGGGGGCTGTGAGTGCAGACGCCGCGGAGCTCCCGACGCTGCCCGAAGCGATCCGGCACGTGATGGCGGGCCTGATGTTCAGTCTGAGCAAGAACGCGTACGAGGGAACGCCGTACTGCGTGGACCTGATCGCGCAGTTGTACGCGCGGAGTGGGGTCGAAGGGCATGGTTGAGGGGTAGACGAGGAGGCGATTGGGCGCTCTTCGTGGATCAACACGCTGTTCTACCAGCTGTACTCGGTTCTCTTTCTGATCGGCACCATTCCGGACGAAATGGCTTCCAGTCTCCAGCAGCTGCTGACCGTTTTGGTGGCGATGCACACGAAGGACCCCACGCTCGAGTTCAAGAACGCGCTCACGCCCGACAAGCTCTTCCTCAACCGCTATCCCGAGCTGGAGCAGGCATTTCACCCGATCGCGATGGGGCTGCTGGAGACGATGAACGACGCGCTGTCGATCGGGTATATTTTGGAGCACTACTTCGACGACGCGGAGATCGTGCTGGCGATCATTCACAAGAACGCGTTGCTGACGATGATCCAGGACAAATCGTCGCGAACGCGATACGCTGCGACGCTGATCGTGCCGACGGTGCGATGTCTGAATGTGTTCAATCAGCACGAGGAGATCACTCCCTATTTCGCGACGGTTCTCGCGATTCTTTGCTCGGAGAACTGTGGGATTGTGGAATAGGGAGGTGAGTCGTAGGGAATCTGCTGAGTCCAGTGATCGAGTCGCAAGATTTTATGACGGTTATCATCTCGCTGACACGTCAATTCACCGATCCTTATCTTCGAAACGTGTTTCTGTTCGTGTTGACGCAGCTGGCGAATGGTAAGGACTCAAGGAGAAGGAGTGAAGTGCAGCCGAAGCGCTGCGTGCCTCGCTGATTCAGAACCCCGATATTTTCCTTCCCTATCTGAACGACGGGGAAGTCTTCGACCCGCGGAAGTCCTCGTTCTCGTCGAGTCCGAACGCGGAGCGACTGCTCGTTTTGTTTGAAAGCGTGTGGCGAACGGACGGCGGCCATCCGATCCCTCGCGATCGGATGCTCGGGATCTTGTCGGTTCTGGCGCAGCATTGTGGGTTTTAGGTGCGAACGGCTGACGTGTAGCGATCACAACGATGCTGAACGAGATGATTCCCGTTGTAGACGAGGCGATTTTGCAAATCCTTCATGGCAATCGAGACAGCACCGAGGTTCTGAACTGGTCGCAGTTCTGCCACTCCGTCGCTCTCTACTATAACAGCCTTCTCTCTGCAATACGATCCAACCGACTGGCTCTTCATTTTGACGGATCCCTGAATTGCCAGGCCGTTAACTTTATAGTTTTCTATATTCAGAATTCTGGAATTCCAGAAATTCTATCCAATTCACCCGATTACAATGATTGGTTGTCGTTTTTCCTATTAATTGTGGAGGACTTGTATTCCACCAGCAAAGAGTTGCCTGATCGTAGCGTGTTTGTTTTTTTCTTTGAGCCGTGTAGTGCAGATCCGACGTTCCTACCTCTTTGAAACGAATCTTTTAGAGGCTGTGATTCACTGCTTGGCTTATTCCATGGCGATCGAGCGAGACGATCAAGTGGCACAGCTCACGGCTGCGGTGCAGCACATCATCGAGGCCTGTAGAAGCGAGTGCGGAGCGTGAGGACTAGATCGAAGCGATATTGAGCGAATCGCGTCCTTCCTGCTTCCTGACATGATGAAATTGCTGTCAAAACACGAGGCGAAGAAATACGAAGAAACCATCTTCGATTTTTGCACGCGATCGCTGGTTACTTGTGAGGAGATTCAATTGGTGTGTGAGCGTGTAGACGAGCTCTACGCAAGCTTCATCGAGCAGGGCTTTGAGAGCTTTTTGGAGTTCATTCGAGAGCGAAGAGAGCAGAATAAGAGCTTCGATAAGTTTGTGATCCGAATGATGGAGAAGTTTAGTTTCATCAGTAGGAGAAAAAAGGGGAAGGGTGCGAGCGTAGATGTTCCGGACTCGCTGATTCGGGCGATTTCGCTGGGATACGAAATGATCTCCGAGAATATTTATTTTGAAAACGAAGTTTTACAGATTGCTGGGGAGATTTTGGAACTACCGGAATGGGAATTGGACGACGGGGAGGATTTGGATCTCGCGGTGGAATGCTTGAACACTCTGATGTCCACGTCGGAAACGCTGAGCAAGGAGGAGAAGGGAGTTTTGAAGCAAGCCTTGAAGCGAATTCACAGACAGAGCTGTTCTTGTGTTGTCTTGTAGTTTGTGTAAAGCAGAGTTTCTTTTTGTTTCTTGTTTCTTTTGAATTAAAGTGAGGAGTGAGTGGTAGACATACATATATATTTATATATATAGGGAAGGACAGATTGGACTTAAAAAGCAAACGCGCGACTATATTGATACTAATAGATAGAGTCAGTATTATAAATAGGATTTGGAAAGTGTTTCCAACTCGTTACACATATCATAATACAAATAGGAAGAAAATAGCAGGGTGTTACACAACATTTTTCGCCATAACACAAATACCATAGTATACAATCTTTTCAGACTGCTTCATTCGTAATCATCAAAGTTCTCTACTATCTTGCACAAAACATAAACAATTCTAAAATGTTCGTTTCCAAAGCACTCTGTAATGCGCGACGTGTCCTCCTTTGCAGAGGAAAACCCTGTAGTGCTTTGCTCAAGGTAATGCAGGCTCGTGAAGACTTAGGCATAGAAGCGACTGTGTACATCACTACCGATATTTCAGCCATTTCGAATGGATTTTTCGACTGGTAAGACGCCAATTACCGAAGAAAGTGAAAAGATCGGAGATGTCTATCAGAAACTCTCTCAACGTGATCATATTCTGAAACGTCCAGATACCTACAGTAGGGAAAGAGAAGAGATTGAGGAAACTAGTCGGGTCTGTTCAGAACATTACCCAAAAGATGTGGCTGTTTGATGAAACTTCGAAATCGATGCAATACAGAAGTGTGAATTATGTATTCTTGAAACATTTTTCTCCAAATTAGAATCCAGGGTTAATCAAGATATTTGATGAGATTCTTGTGAATGCCGTGGATAACAAGCAGCGATGTCCGGAGATGACCACGATAAAGGTGTCCGTCGATAAGAAGACAAATACGATCTCAATCTATAATGATGGTGATGGCATTCCTGTGGCTATTCATCCCGAATACAATGTCTACATCCCCTCCATGATCTTTGGGCAGCTGCTCTCCGGCACGAACTTCGACGACAACAGTAAGAAAGGTACATTCCAGAACAAGAATCCTTATTCGTAGTGACTGGCGGCCGAAATGGATTTGGAGCGAAGCTAACAAACATTTACAGCACCGAATTCCGCGTGGAGACGGTGTCAAACGAGAAGCGATTTATTCAAGTAAGGAAGTGCTGAGTGCGTACTTTATGCGAGGTGTTCCGAAACAATATGACCGAAGAGGAAAAGCCGAAAGTGACCAAAGCCACACGGAGCAAACAGTATACCGAAATCGTGTTTAAACCGGACTTGGCGCGGTTTGGAATGAAGGAGTTGGATGATGATACGATCGCAATCATGAAGCGTCGTGTGTATGATGTGGCGGGAGTAACGGATGATTCTGTGAAAGTGTATTGGAATGGAGAAAAGCTCAATGTGCGGAGCTTTAACGATTATGTGAAACTGTTTGAAGTGTTTATTGTTTTGTCGTGCTGACCGTCAGAGAACGTTGCAAAACACCGACTTTGTGGAGCAAAACAACGACGCTCTGCAGCACATCGATATCCAAATGGCGTATGGAGCATCGCCTCGCTGGCAGTTTGCGGTGATTCCCACACCAATCACAGGAATCACTCCATTTAGCGTAGGATCCTATTTTTTCTCATTGAATGGAAAGATGAGTTTCGTGAATGGCGTGTTTACGAATCGCGGCGGAAAACACTTGACGTATCTGACGGATCACATCGTAGCGCAGCTTCAGCCGGCAATCGAGCGTCGTTTGAAGCGTTCAGTGAAGCCGTCCTTGATTCGACAGCATCTCTGTGTGTTCTGCAACTGTCTGATCGAGAATCCGACGTTCGATTCGCAGACGAAGGAGTGTTTGACGACGAATAGCAAGGTGATTTGTGCAAATGGCGGTGAATCGTAGGACTTTGGATCGCTTCCCGAGCTCTCTCCTTCCTTCCTTTCGAAAATCGAGCGATCAGGGATCGTGGATCTCGTGTCCACAAGCATGCATTTGAAGGATATTCAAACGCTAAAGAAGAGTAGCGGTACAAAAGTGAATCGAGTGAGTTTTGATGGAATCAATGCTGATGAATAGTTACTCAATATTCCCAAGTTGGATGATGCCAATAACGCAGGAACGAAGAAATCGGGCCAAGCGACTCTGATCATCACAGAGGGAGATTCGGCAAAAGCGCTCGCTGTGGGCGGATTGGGCGTTGTGGGTCGTGACAACTATGGAGTCTTTCCTCTGAAGGGGAAGGTGATGAATGTTCGCGATGCCACCGAAAAGCAGTGCAGCGAAAACGAAGAAATCCAGAACTTGGTCCGCATTCTCGGGTTGAAGTCGGGATTGGGGCTTTGAATGTGATTGTATAGATATGGAAAGGAATACAAGGACACAAGTTCTCTTCGCTATGGCCATTTGCTGATCATGACCGATCAAGATTATGATGGCTCTCACATCAAGGGCCTGGTTCTCAATTTGTTCGAAACCTTCTGGCCGTCGTTGTTGAAGCTCGATTTTGTTTCCCAGTTCATCACGCCGATCGTGAAAGTGACCCGAAAGAAGGAAGAGCACACGTTTTTCACGGTGAAGGAGTTCCAAGACTGGTCGAACAAAGAGAAAGACTTGAAGAGCTGGAAAATCAAGTATTTTGGACTTCCGTGTCTGTGCTGATGCGCGTAGATATTACAAGGGTCTAGGTACTTCGACCGCGAAAGAAGGCAAGGAGTATTTCAGCAACCTTGATCGACACGTCCTTCCCTTCGCTCCACTGACCTCATCGGAGAGCAATTTGATCGACATGTGCTTCAAACGGTCGCGATGTGAAGAACGGAAAGAGTGGATTGATGGTTTTGACCCCGAGTCGTATATCGACTATGGTTCGTTTTGAGAGTTTGTGCTGATGTGTAGAAAAGAGTCCTGTGTCGATTTATGATTTCATCAACAAGGAGTTGATCCAGTTTTCGCGTCAGGACTGCATTCGATCGATTCCGAGTATGATTGATGGTCTGAAGCCATCGCAGCGAAAAGTTCTGCATGGCTGCATCCAACGGAATCTCACAAAAGAGATCAAGGTGGTTCAGCTTTCGGGGTAGTGTTTCTGTTCGTCTGTGAAGTGTAGATACATTTCGGAATCGGTGCTATATCATCACGGAGAGCAATCACTCAACCAGACGATCATTTCCATGGCGCAAGACTTTGTTGGATCGAACAATATGAACTTTTTAGTCCCGAATGGCCAGTTTGGAACGCGGCTGATGGGCGGGAAAGATTCGGCTTCGCCTCGATATATTTACACGTATCTCCACCCGATTACGAAGCATGTGTTCCGAGAAGAAGATTCCGCTTTGCTGCCTTCCCAGGAAGAGGAAGGAGTTCACATCGAGCCCTCGTATTATCTTCCAATTCTCCCTACGGTACTTGTGAATGGAGCCGTGGGGATTGGGACTGGATGGAGCACGAATGTGTGCAACCATAACCCCATCGAGGTGGCAGATGCTTTGATTGCGCAGCTACGAGGAACGCGATCAAATCGTCCTCTGTATCCGTGGTACCGAGGCTTTGTTGGGCAGATTCTGAAGAAAGAGAACGGGTACCAGGTGTGCGGCAATGTGTCGTGGATCGATGAGAACACGCTGGCAATTACCGAGCTTCCTGTGGGTCGCTGGACGCAGGACTACAAGCAGTTTTTGTGCGACTTGGTTGAGCAGGGCGATGTGGTAACGGGGTTCAGAGAGAACCACACAGATACGGAAGTGATGTTTACGGTGACAGTAAAGAAAGAGAAAGCAGCAGAGTTGAAGGAAAACAGAGAGAAACTCATGAAAGATTTGCGACTCATAGGATCGCTGACGACATCGAACTTCATCTTGTTTAACTCGAAGGGACATATCCACCACTATAAAGACGCCAACGAGATAATGGAGGAGTTTATCGAGTTCCGACTGCCCTTCTATCAGCAAAGACGAGAGAATCTGATGAAGCAGCTGGACAAGAAGTGCAAGCTGCTAGAGAATAAGTCGAACTTTATTCAGCACGTAGTTGACGGAAGTCTGGTACTCCATGACAGACCAATCAAGAAGGTTATTTCCGATATGGAGGCGTTGGGATTGATGAAGATTGGTAGTGACGGAGAAACCTCGACATACGATTATTTGCTCAATCTGCCTCTGAACGGTTTGACGGAGGAAAAGCGGAAGCAGCTGGATACGGAAATGAAGGAAACGAAAGAGAAGAAGGAAGTGCTGAATAGCAAGGAGAGCAAGGATCTGTGGATTGAAGATTTGGAAGAGTTCAAGTCGAATTTCATCCAAATGGAAGCGAAGAGACTGAGCGAACTGGTCCAAGGCAAGAGGAACCAGGCTTACGAAGTTTTTACAATTGATCACTACAAGCGAAGTCAGGTGAAAGAAACATAGATGCATAGATACATAGATACATAGATAACTAACTAGCTGCATTGTTTGAACCAAACACGAAAATAGGATACAAAGCTACTAGATTGACAAGTGAGAGAGGAAGTAAGGATGAAAGCTCTGCAGCGAAACAGAAGGGTGCTCGTCCTTCGATTTGCAGTCACAAATCTTCTTCCAAGCTTCCTCGACCCACACACGACAAAGCAGATTGCTGTTCTGCAGAAGGGTCGGTGTGGACACGGTTCTGAGAACATTCACTGCCAAGTCAAATAAGGAATAATCGTAAAAGGAGGGATGCAGGATTAAAAAATCACAGAGGTAAAAACAGCGTAGAACGACTGTCTCCAGTGACTCACTCAGCAGCTGCTTCACGATGTTTCCCAGCCGCCAAATGACGGCGACGAGCGTAACTGTCGCGATCTTCCACTCCAAACTCTCCAAAAACAAGCGCTCGAGCTGAGTCACACGCGAAATTGTCTCCTCCTTCGTGATTCCCGATAATTTGAGTAGTAGACGAGGACTTGCCTTGACAGGTTCCTACATGATAAGCGGACACAAGCTCGCGTACTGCATATTTGATCGATAGGTCCAACGCGACGACGCCCAGGAGTTGCAGATCACCACGATGCAAACGTTCCACCCCTGGACTGCTCATAAAACGGTCCAGAATATTCACTGCTAGGTGAAACGTCTCGCGATGGAGGTGATGGTCGAAACAGAATTCGCTCATCCAATGTACTAAGATTGCTCTGTTACGAGGAGAGTAGCCGGCAGAAAGGGCGCAAGAAAGCAATCCAACCACACGCCTCTCTCTCTTCTTTACCCATTCCATGCAAGAATATAGATCCTCCTCGATTCTAGAATTGTCAGAGACTGTTGAAACGGGCGAAGGAACCAAGATTCGGGATCTCTTTAGTGGGAGCGTTTCTGGACCCCCATCCGCTGCAATCCGCTTCACGGAGGTCCTCTATTCCAATAACAGAGCTACTGGCTAGCTTACCTTTTTGTTCAAGAATGGAGGAGAAAACCCTGTAGAACATCCTTCGGACTCCACAGTTTTACCAGGCGAGGTCTTCTCCTTCTCTCTTCTCTCCATGTTGCTAAGAAAACCAATAAATGAGGAAAGGAAACAGAGAAATAGATCGAGTGCTCTCCCTCAGTTTTTGTAGTCAGTTCCTTCCCGCCAAATATGCCGGGTCAAAATAAATCAAGAATCATGAAGAATGCCCACATAACAAATAAAAATATGAATCTTCAAAAGACATTTCACCGAAGAGAGTGTTATTTGACTTGTCTGCCTCTTGACAAGGGAAGGATCTTTGGCAAGATACAGCAATATTCCGATTTATTTTTTATAGGTCATAACACTTATACACTTTTAGAAGGTAAATGCTCGTTCACTATATTCTTGATGTATTCGATTCATCCTAAAGACAAAACAGAGAAGCGTTGTAATGACATAAGAGAGCTTCTAGCGGAAAGCAAGACGCATCAAGAAAAGGAATATGCTAATCTCGCCGAAACCGTATTTCATAGCAATTTTACGCATGTGCTCTAGGTGGAGGAGCCTATGTCTACACCCGTTAATGACTATGCCTTTATGTTGTCAGCACTCGACGATATTCAAAAATGTACATCGGCTCAGTATAGTGAATGTTCTGAACGGATTCAAAATCGTTATGTATGCAGTCCTATTGTTTTTTGTTATTATAGAAGATCTCTTTAGAAAATGTTCATATTCAGCATGTACCACGAATTTGTATAATAATAATATTGTATAGGGGGTCAGTATAGTGGAGCCACTCGCACTTAGTCTCACAAAGAATGAGATTTCTGAAGTTGAAGGGTTGCTATACTCAAATAGTAAAGACCCTTATTCTGTAAAATTCGGATATCAGATATTTCAGCGCGATCTGAATACATTGAGAGAGGGAAATTGGCTAAATGACAATATAATCAACTGTTTCGTGCACCTCGCTCAAGAAGAAGCGGAAACGCAGGGAATCAAGAGTTACTGTTTCAACTCGTTCTTTTATAAGAAACTGAGTTCCAACGGATATGCAAGCGTTCGACGCTGGACCAAAAACGTTGATCTCTTTTCGTATAACCGAGTCATAATTCCCATCAACACAAACAATGTAAAGGGTCGTTGTAAGTTGATTATTTTTGTAGACTCATTGGACGATGAGCTACATTGATATTGATAAGAAAGAAATTCACTATTGTGATTCGATGGGAGGAACTGGGAAGCACATATTACAGGACCTGATTGGTTATTTGCGGGAAGAAATGAAGGATAAAAAGGGTGAGACGTTGAATGATGAGACATGGAAGTTGATTGATTCGCGACGATCCGTTCCACAGCAAGAAAACTGTACGGACTGTGGCGTATTTACGTGTTTGAATTGCTTGTTCTGTTGTTTGCGACGAGTAGTCTTTGTTCAGTTGTTTCGAAAGTAGCCCTTGAATTACTCGCAGAAAATGATTCCCATGTTTCGGAAATATATTGCGTATTGTATTGTACAAGGCAGGATAAGGTGAATGCGTTTTAGTAAGTTTTTTTAAGTTTTTGCTGCTTTTTGTTAAATGAGTAATTTGGAAGAAGATCTCTTGAATGGAACTTCCTCATTAAGCTTTTTATCGAAACCGAAGTTAGTAACTCGCTCGAACTCTACAAAGTCGAAAGTAGATATGGAAGCATCAAAAACAGTGCCTTTTGAGCGGAATAGCAAACCCACGTCTTATAAACCCCTCATTCCCCCAACATTGTACCATTTCCGTTTTTTACTATAATTTTAGGCCTCCATCGAGTGAGATCCAGGATTCTAGGAATAGCTCGTATAGTTCAGAAGTATCTGATGATAGTTATTCAGCAAAATCGGATTATTCTACTCCATCCCCCAAGGATTCACCAAAGAAGAAGCCAGTCGATGGGGCTCCAAAGCCCCCCAAAGTGAAAACGCTCGATGACTATCCTACGGTCACTGCAGACATTCGAAATAGCGTGATGGAATGTAGCAATAATGTAGGTATTATCAATTTGTCAATACGTAGTTACACAAGCTAATTACCGACTTGTGTAATGAGAATAAGTGGTTAAATAACATGTACACAGAGATTCGTGATTCTCCATTGGCTGCAGAGATCAAACAGGAATATGAGAATACCATATCGGATTGGAAGCAGAAATATGCGGATTTGCAGAAGCAGTATAACGATGCATTGGATGAAATCGATTCTCTTCACGCTGAGAATGCAAAGCTTCAGAGGAGGTAGGTTTGGTGAAATAGGTTTTCTGTAGCAACGCCGATTTGCTGAGTCAAGCAAGACGCGTAAAATGAATGCTGTTGGTCTTAGAGGTAGGTGAGCCAGCTGGAGCGCGAGCTGAACTCTGCATCGATTCGTCGTGACGTGGTCGTGAAAGAGCTGAAGGACACGCAGCAGGAAATGAGCAATCTCCAGGCTACAAAGAGGAAGTTGGAGGCGCAAATCGATGAGCAGAAGCAGCAGCTGCAATCGCTGAACATCGAAGTGAAGACTTTGAAGGCAGAGAAGGAGTCGCAGAGCAGTTCGATGTCTGGCGTGTATAGAAGAAGAAGAAGCGAGGATTCGCAGCAGCGCGGATCTTATCGAGGAAGAGATGACGAGGATTTGCAGCGAGATTCTTGGCGGGAAGATTCACAGCGAGATTCTTGGCGGGAAGATTCACAACGAAGCTCTCGAAGAGAGGATTCACAACGAAGTTCGTATCGAAATGATTCAAACACAATGGTCGTTTATTCTCGTCAACCGGAATTACCGAGAAGGGATGAACCACAGGTTACAGTACGATTCTTTTAATCTTTCACATGATGGTTAGGCTGTTGCTTTATATGACTATGAAGGAAATAAGGAGTATCATTCGCTGCCAATGAAGAAAGGTACAGAAATGATCGTATTGAAGTACAATACAAGTCGTGATTGGACTTTTGTAAATATGAATGGAACGACAACCTGGGAGCCCACAGCCTACCTGCAGATTAACGATAAGAAGAAGAGTGAATCGGGTAGCCGCCCTTTTAAAACGCACTCTCGAGAGATCGTTACCGGAGTGGGAAGTCAGCGTGCAATCGTGATTGCCGACTTTGAGGGTTTGGACGGATCGGAAATGACCGTGAAAAAGGGAGAAGTGGTTCAAATCGTGAAGGAAGACGGAGAATGGCTGTTTGGTACTGTAGGAGCTCGGGTAAGTCTCGTTGTATTGTTGACTGATGGATAGAAGGGATGGCTACCGATTTCATTTGTTGAAATGATCTAAACTGAATAGATTTTGAATGGTTGTTCTTTGTTTAACAAACCAAGCAAGTGTAAAATTGCTATTCAACAATAATCAAACTTATAACAATAAATACTATTATTGCTACTGCTGCTACTACTACTATTGCTGGTGCTACCACCACTACCACTTCTACTACTACCACTACTACTAAAGTATCAAAGAGCGCAATGATTCAGGAAGTACTTCTACATGGAGTTTGGAATTAGGACCGCCTTGCCCACTCGTTCGGCGTTGATGCAGTAACTTCGTGAGAAGTCCCAACAACATGACCAACACAGCCACCATTGATATTGCTATTAGTACCATCACTGTTTCCTCGTTATTCACCGAAACAATTCCTATTGTGGTCGACAACGAGCCCTCTAAATTAACTGCCTCAATCTCCACAATCAATAGCGGAAAGTTCACTTTCACTTTGCCACGTATTTCCCCTGTGAGTTCGTCCAGTTCCAACCCTTCAGGCAGCAGGCCATGCGGAATAAACACCAGTTCCGCGCCCACCACTGTTGGAAGAATGGACACTGCAGTCTTCCGATTAATTCGCCAAATATTGACGGGATAGAAGAAGACGGAAGGAGCATCACAACGACAGAGATTCCGCGACTCTGTCCAATTTCCTTCATAACAAAAATGTTGAATCGAGCCATGATAGAGAGAAGGGCAAGGAGCCAGATACCAATTATAGGAAGGCACATAAGAGGTAAAATCGGACGATGCTGCATCCGGAATGAGTTCTTGGATATTGCAGAATCCAGCAATCTTTTGACTCTGGAATTCAATCTCCGCGATTTCAAACCCATTCTTGACTTCCTTGTTGCCAAACACAAATCGATACTCATTAAAAGAGAATTCGTTGTAAAAAGAATAAGTCCTAAACTTTCCGAATCCAATCGAAAAGATTTCAATGCTCGTTAACTCCAAGAGCTTGACCCATTCTCGATTCGCCACTTCTCTTCCTGCTTTTGCTGTCTCCATCTCCTGCACCGATTGCAACTTCCTTCCATACAATGTGATTTCGCGAGGATAGGCTCCAGGTTGATCTCCAAAAAAGAGGGTGAAGCTAGACGCAAACTCGAGATTTCCATTCATCGAAAAGAAGTGAACTTGATGATTATGCGTCGCCAGTCCAGAATAAAAGCAAGTGTAATAATTCCCGTCATTCAACTCCTTGATAAACGCTGTCGAGCTCTGCGACTGTGTAGCACTCATATCAATTACCGTTGCATCCAGCAAAGCAGCAGTAATACGGGATCTAAACGCGATATCAAGGCGGAAAGTAGATGGACGCGCCTTTTCTGGCTTCTGATTCTCGTGCAACTCAACGGCGACCACGTTTCTCCCTACTTCCAAAGAAGAAAACTGGCAAGGAATCACCACCTTATACTCAATATCGTTCACATAGTAGTTCGTTGCTAAGGTTTCATGAGTTACTGTTCCATCCGGAAGATTCCACCGAGTATGCTCCTCTCCATTGATATACAAAACAAATCCAGCATGGATCGTAAGGTAAAACACAACTTCGGAGAGATTCGAAATGTCCGAAAGCTCTAGAACTGTCTTATAGTACTGGGTGATTCCAGAATACCAGGGGAATTCTCCGGGAACAGCAGTGTTCCACGTCTCCACGGATGGATTGATTTGCTTGTACCAATCGCTCTTGGGTATTTGCTCGGAGAAGTCAAAATACCAGGGCGTAATTTGGTTCCAATCATCACGAACGACCGCGTTCACCCAAATCTGTGGGAATCCAGGGTTGATGAATCCCTTGGCGATCATTCGTCTGTTTTGCAAGACCAAGTAGCTGGACGTTAAGCTCCCTTGATAGGTTTCGTCGAGCAGCATCAAGTGATAGGAATCCACAGGAAGGCAATGCGTAAATGGTTCCTGCTCCGACAAGCTTGCCGAGGAGAAGCGGATCAGTTTCCAGGATGAATCGAAGATACCGATATCAGTAAAAAAGCTCGATGAGAAGTCGTGAATCGGCAGTAATTCAACGCGGAGTGTGTTCAAAGGAAATTCGCAACGGATATAGTTGAAGGTACAGACTGTTGACACGATCTTTTTCTTCATGTTGACTGCGTTAATCGTAATATTGGTGGAAGCAAAAGCATCAACCGCAGACCCGGAGATACACCCGGTTCCACTGTTAATGATGAGTCCCTTAGGAAGCTCCCCGTTGGACTTGAACGAATCGAAGTAGAGATGCTTCGGACAAATGGTAATAATGGGAATGTTCAAGAACACATTCAGTACGGAATCCTCATATTCAAAAGGAACCTGGGAAGCGACATCGAGGTTAACAACATGGAACGAAATACGGGCCGCTTGCACATATTGCTGTCTGTCTTGCTGCTCAACCTTCCATGTGACAGCCGAGGTAAACCTGCTCTCACTCGGAATAACAAAACATTGGGTCTGTAGACGCGATGTCCACGTGATTTTTGATTGCTTGTTCACCAGATCCCACTGATTGTTATCAAATCGAAACCAAAGAGTCCATCGAATCGGATCATAGAGTGGCGAACCCGAAGACGATGTGATGCAATACTTATTGATAATGTACTTGGAATTATCTTTCATCGAAAACGAAACGATGGCCTTTCCATAGGTGAAATCGGACTTCCAGTAGTCAACCATGCTTTTACTAATCAAATTGGAGGCATCATGTCCCGCTACAGAGTCTCCAGAGACATTCACCTCATCCATAGGGCGCGAACAAGAGTCCAACTCCATGGCCAATCGTAAAATAAAGTTAAACAGAAAGTATTGATCGTGACGCTGTTCAGAAGTGCGGATCACATCGTTCAGGTTTGATAACTGCACAGCAATAAGATTGGATCCATTATGAAGAGCTCCAGAATGCACAGTGATTGTCGACCAAGAAAAGTTACTCTGCGCATCCGTTCGCACCATCTGCACTCCATTGATCCATACGCCAAATCTACATTTGTGGCGTATTTTCAAATCAATATTGGTAATTTGGGTGACGTCATCCACATTAAACCAAGAGCGCCAAAAGAGATCCCTTCCAATCCTCGTAATATACGGATTTGATGTAGAATAGGATTTCCACGCCCTATCGTCAAAGAGCTCCTTTTCCCAGCCATATTCACATTCGTCGTCCACGGCCACTTTCCATTTCGTGTCTGCATCAATGCTGTATACGGGATTAATGAGGCACTTTCCAGGAATGGGAAGATCGGCAATCGCTTCAAACTTCATTGATTCCACTAAAGGAAACTCGTTTTCCTTGGAAAAGAAGCGAGGGATTGGAAGTTTAACCGTAATCAACCCAGGATTCTGATTCTGCAGGAGTTGGTAAGAGCGAATAGCAGAGGAATCCACAAAGGTAGACAACTGGAACGTCTGTAGAGGCAAGCAATAAAATAAAGGTTGAAGAGAATTCTGTGCCGAAGAGGATGAAGATGAGGCAAAAGAAGGATGTCCGCACTGCTCCTCAACATTGCTTGATGCAGATGAGATATTCCAACATTCTATTTGGGAAAACGGAGTATTGACTTTTTCCAAGAGAACAATGGTATGATTCGCACCGCAACCTACATTGTAAAAGCTGATCACCCCAATTCACATACCTCGACCTTCCAATTGAAATGTAAACGACGACTGACTATGGTCAATCATGTTTTCTGCAACCACTGTAATTTTGGTCAAAGGAAAAGGCTCTGTTAATCGGCCACTGAGAATTCCACTTTGAGAATGGAAGGAAAGCGAAGACGGAATGGGTGAAAGCAGTGAAAAATGGGAATAGCCAGTGGACAATGGAGCGATGTGAACCCGTTCAAACTGAAAATAGATGATATTTACGGCAGGATAGGTTAAATGCGAGTACGAAATAACACGTGAAGAAGACAAACTAATTTCGCTAACTGTTGAAAGCTGGCAATTTCCACAGTTATTCCCTATGTTTCAAGAAAAACAAGAGATGAACACAGATTTTGAAGAGGAACGTCCGATAATTCAGAGGGAAGTTATTAAGTGGAAATGTAAGACGCTGGTTTCGATAGCTGAATGATATATCCGTCTGCGAGTCGAGTAAGTCAAAGTCGACATTATTCTTGGATCCATAGAATTCCCACGAAGAAATGTCTGTTGAAGGATCTTGCGAACTCGAGACAACGGAGTATTCATTCACAAACTCCCCTCTAGAAGTCATCAGACGCCCTGACCTATTCGTACAGAGGATTGGTATACTCGATGAAAACATCAGCAGTACGTCCGCGAAACCACCATTCAGAGACTCTGCTATCATCAAAAGCATTGACTAAGGGATGTGCATAGAAGTCCTTATCGTGCACTGATCGCAATTTCATGTTATTTGAAGTTGGCGCATCAAAAGAAAAGAAGACAAAATGGGCAGTAAACGGATCGCTCGTGATGTTATTGCACAGAGCTTGATTCAAGTCACAATAGACATGAATGGCTACGACATTCGAAGAGGATCGGAAATATCGATGAAGGTCTTCTCGCTTCACAGTTTCAATTGATGTATTTGCATGATTTGAGCTTACTTCGTGAGTCAAAAAGTGGATTCCATTGATGAAAACCTCCACAGAGAATAGGTGGCAGATAAAACACTCGAATGATGCATAGGTAGAGAGGACAGAGGGCTCGAGAACAACCACTTTCCGATAATAGCGTTCGTGTAGAAAAGGAAGAAAGGAATTTTCCGCCCCATCATCCCAAGAAGAATCATTGTACGAAAGACTCATCCAATTTGAAGACGCAACGAACTCGTTATACTTCCAAGAGCTCCAAGGAAAAATCGGGCTAAATGCTAGATATAAAACTCGACAAGAATGACTCTCTACGACGCATATAATAGATTGCCATTTTCCCAATATCGACTGTGCCACGAATCACGGGTGTTTTTCCAAAGGCTTTAATAACGAAGAATGAGCCCTGCTTCCACGAATCCGAAAGTCTAGGGAGTAAAAATTGCACAAGAAATACGCCGAAGTGCAAATGATTTGATATAAATGCGAATCAACACATATCTGTGTTGAATCCACTCTGAAATCCTTTTTGTACCCATACATCGACGTTACGAATGCGTAGGACCCGTTTTGATATTTATACACCTGCAAGGACTGGGAAGTCGCATTCGCCTTGTAGACCACATCAATCGTGTAGGGAACGAGCGACGGCGAGCACTCGAGAGCGGACGCTACAAAAACATTCCACTGCGTTTCATACTGGAATACGGCCTGACAAAAATCAATAGTAGCAAAAATAAAAGCGAAATCATAGACTAGGGTGAAAACATAAAGAAATAGTTATGATTTGTGGAATCGAATGTATTCTCCAAAGTTTCACTAAATCCGTCCTTTTTCGTTGCTGTTTCTGCCGATTTATAGAACTAGTTGAGGTGCTAAAACAGAATGGCGCTGTTCCATAAATGCCTGAGTTTGTTCACCTTGAGATTGGTAAATCCGATACAGCAATCCAATGTATGTTTATCTTTGGTAAGGACGCAACCGATATATTACAAAGCAATAACAACGCTGTCGTTGTCTTCGATGCTTGGTCTGTACTTATGCCATACATGCTTTGAATTCTAGGAGTTTATTTCCACGTTCTCTATGGGACGGTGACCTGTGGACACAGTTTTCAAGTGTAATGAAGAAACGAAAGACAAAGATGAACCATCATAAGGTGAATCGTGTGTAGATGTTGATGAGATGTAGTGGAAAAAGCGAAGCAAAGCCAAGCGGTTCAAAACAAAGGCTCATAATCAGTAATGAGGGCTATGAATTTTATTTGCATTGTTTGTTTGAGATGCAGCATGTGACAAGTGATTGACGTTTGGGTATTGTGAATTGAATCAAGGGAGAGGAGCCACGGAATGTAGAATTGGCGTGTGTGTCTGACGGATAGCAGTGAAATGTGTGTATATTACTATCTCCATGGATGTGCGTATGTTGCTATCTCCAAGGATGTGCGTATATTCATACAGATGGTTTTACATCACTAAGTACCAATATTGCGGGTTTTCTCTCATCACAAACCATCATGAAATAACAACCGACTATTACTCCTCCTCCTCCTTCCTTCCTTCACTTGTTTCAACAAACACACAACCCAGTGTACAGAAATCCATTCGTTTCCCCTTACTTAGCACGGACAGTGGACTTAATAATACCCACAGCGACAGTCTGTCTCATATCACGGACGGCGAAACGACCCAGAGGAGGATAATCCTGGAAGGACTCGACGCAGAGAGGCTTGGAAGGCACCAGCTCGGCCATCATGGACTTTCCGTTCTTGACGATATCGGGGTTCTCACGCAGGACCTTTCCGGTACGCTTATCCATCTCGGACATGATCTTCTCGAACTTGCAGGCAATGTGAGCAGTGTGGCAATCCATCACAGGGCAGTAACCAGGACGAATACCCGAGGGGTGGTTCATCACAATGACCTGAGCGGTGAACGAGTCCACTCTGCAAGGAGGATCGTTCTTGGCATCTCCGCACACGTTTCCACGGTGAATGTCCTTCACAGACACGTTCTTCACGTTGAAACCGACGTTGTCTCCGGGCAGAGCCTGAGGAATCGACTCGTGGTGCATTTCCACAGACTTGACTTCAGTGGTCACACCCACGGGAGCGAAGGTCACGGTCATACCGGGCTTCAGGATACCGGTCTCCACACGGCCCACAGGCACTGTACCAATACCTCCGATCTTGTACACATCCTGCAGAGGAAGACGCAGAGGCTTATCCACAGGGCGCTTAGGAGGATGAATGTTGTCCAGAGCCTCAATCAGAGTGGGTCCCTTGTACCAGGGCATGTTAGCAGAGCGCTCCAGCATGTTATCTCCGTTGAATCCAGAGATGGGAATGAAGGGAATACGCTCCTCCACCTTCTGGTAACCGACCTTGGTCAAGAAGCTGGTCATCTCAGCCTTGATCTCCTTGTAACGAGCCTCGGAGTAGTTCACGGACTTGTCATCCATCTTGTTCACGCAGCAGATCATCTGCTTCACTCCCAGAGTGTTGGCAAGAAGAGCGTGCTCACGAGTCTGACCGTTCTTTCCGTAACCAGCCTCGAACTCTCCAGTTCCGGCAGCAATGATCAGAATGGCAACATCGGCCTGAGAGGTACCGGTGATCATGTTCTTGATGAAGTCACGGTGACCAGGGGCATCGATGATGGTGAAGAAGTACTTCTCAGTCTGGAACTTCCACAGAGAAATATCAATGGTGATACCACGTTCACGCTCGGCCTTCATCTTGTCCAGCACCCAAGCGTACTTGAAGGATCCCTTACCAATCTCGTTGGCCTCCTTCTCAAAACGCTCAATGGTACGCTTATCAATACCACCGCAAGCATAGATCAAGTGACCAGTGGTGGTGGACTTTCCAGAATCGACGTGTCCAATGACGACCAAGTTAATATGAGGCTTTTCCTTACCCATGCTACAAAACAGGTTAGACTCCATCCCAAACGACCACACACATCAGGCATTCACTCCACATACATTATTCAAATACTTCAAATTGAAATGAAGAAATTGTGAGCAATAAACCATTCCTTCAATTTCGTGCAATCGTCGAAATAAAACGTGTTTTACCTTATTGTTCTGTGTATTTGGGATTGTTATAAAACATTGTAATGATACGAAGAGCCAATAAGAATACACACAATGAAACAAGCGATGAACAAATTGTTATTCATTTTGTGTGGCTCCTAGTTAACATAGGTACGAGTTTTATCAACGAGAGCAATCGATAAGGAGAAGGAGATACCACCCAGTAGGTAGTCTCTTTCTCATGGCGTTCATTCTGTTATACATTGGCAGGCATGAAGGGAGTACACATGCTTACTGGGGAGAATGCATGAACCGAGGAATGGTGCTTCTCTGAGAGAGGATTGTCAATTGAAATGATAATTGTGCTAGTAGAATGTGCTTCGTGTGTATATCCATTTTCCATTTTTTGATTCATGGAAATAGGTTAAATGTATAATCGATTTAGAATAGACATTCTTTTTCCTCCCATTCGATTTCAACGATTCTGGTGATTTTCTGGTCAACATTTTGGGGAAATCCATAAAGGTGCATTTTCGGAAGGTGGAGAAATCTTTCCAACCAGGGAGTTTGCAATTTCGGAAACATTTCAAGCTGAATAGGAAACAATTGTTCAGAAAATCACCAGTACTGGAAGAGAATCATGTAGTTTCTAAGGTATGTTCTTCGATTCAAACACATAGAATATATGTTTGTGTCATTATCCACCACTCCAAACATGTTGTGCAATGCGCATTGCATTTTTGATTCAAACAAATAATAAAGAAAGTATGGAATTTTGCAAACTTTAAACCTTTACAGCCTTCTTCGTGCTCTCCTTCTTGGACAGACTCTTCTTTGACGGTGTGGCTCTCGCACTTCTTCCCTTGACGCCACCCACAGCCTTCGCTCTTCCAGTCACACGAATCAGAACGAAGGCAACAATAACAATAATGATAATCGCAACGATTACCAGAATGATGATCATCGCGATCGGCATACAATATCCAGAGACTGGACCCCATTCTCCGTCCTTTTCACCAAGATTGCAAGCTCTCTTCTCGGTACCCACATAGGAACCACCCTTAGCGCAATCATAGATATAGACCTCACCAACATTCGTAGTCTCGAAATTACCCTCCGCCTTGCAGGTTCCCTTCTTCACAGAGAGATTGATAACAACAGAGTCCGAGCCAACCTGGTTCTTTCCATAGATCGTGTAGGCTCTCAACGCAACTTCCTCCGTGGCAATTCCAGTAATTTCTCCGGTCTTGGCGTTCAGCACCAAGCCAGCGGGCAGGAAGGTGTTCTCAGCCAAATAGAACTCCTCAATAATGTTATTATATCTGGGAGCTGCAATCTGGGTGTTCACACCAATGATGAGGTTAAAGATTCTCGCACTGTAGGTGATTCTTGAGGGAACCTTCTGCACACAGTACTGGTTGTTGATCTTACCCAGCTGACCATTTGTGCAAGTACGGTACGAGTATCCACGATATCCACGTTCGCAGTCTGCAGGCGAGATTTCTCCCTCTCCCACGGAGGGATAATCACCGATTCCAGGACACACTCCAGTTCCACTAGGCTTGCAGTACAAAAGCATGTACGAGCTCACGTACACATCAGCGGAGGCAGGAACATCCACCTGGTATCTGAGCTGTCGGAAGCCAGCAATACCCACAGGCACAGAGAAAGCAGTACGTTGCAACGCCAGAGTGCTCTGACTAAGAAGAGCAAGAGCAGAAGTGTACTCGTCGTTCCGATCATCGCGGACATAGAGAGAGAATCCAAGTCCAGTACGAGCATACACAGTCTGCATGGCGAAGTGGTTGAACTTGGTTCCCTCCAAGTTCTCCACTTCCCAGTCAAGACGCGTTCCCTGAGTGTTCGCCTGATATCCATAGGTTGTGGGATTCAGATCCAGCAAAGATTCAGCTTCAACAAGAGTAACAGGCGATCCAGAAATATCCGAGTATGTATCCACCAGAACCGAGCACTCGTTCACTCCGAACACGCCAGTAGCATCGAACACAGCAGGGCTCGAAGAAGATTGGCCAATAGGACGATGAACTTCAAAGGCCATCACATTCTTTCCAGTCTCTCCATTAACCGTCGTCAGAATCACATGGAACTTGGAGAACTCATCTTGGTTATGCACTTCAATGGACTGCGTGTCATCAGCGAAATCTTCCTCCAGATTGAAGCGAGCCACGAGTCGTCCATTGAAGTAAGCAGCAACTCCTCCAGCATACTTCACACGAACGTTCAACACGTAATAGCTGTTGATGTCAGGAATCTCGATGTTCTTGCGAATATAGGTAGTGATTCCAGAGCCAGAAGTAAAGGCACTGGCCTTGCTTTTCTGCCAAGCAGAGTCGTCAAAGTCCTTAGCGTTCCAATTCTCCACATAGTTATAGTTGACCGTCCATTCCGTATACTCAACCTGGAACGGAAGGAAGGAAGAGAACATTGTGCTAATGGAAGAAGTGGCAGCAGGGAATTGTCCCATTTCGAAGATCATCTCACCCACATCCACAGTCAGATAATATCCAGCAGGATTGAACCAACCATCTCCGAAGGAATCCAACATTTGCATGGTGTATATATTGTTCTGCAAGCAAGAATCCACATAGTTCAGACCGGAGGAAACGGGGAATCCATTGTTGGAAGAAATGAGGGTTCCGCTCGTACCAGCTCCCTGGAACAGCTTGTAAGAACCCTCATAAGGATAGTTATCCGTACGAACCACCAAGGTAATCAGAGACTGCTCCCCCGAGCAGACCTTCACAGTAAGAGAGAAGGAAGTAGTGGAAGTGCCTCCAGTCAGCTTGTTGGCGGTGATCGAGTACGTGGTGGCTGCCATCTCAGCAGTGGCGGTTCCAGAAATCATACCCGTATTAGGATTCAGAACAATTCCAGTCGGGAAAGCAGGAGTGACCTGGAAGTTGTAGTAATAGGCAGAATTAGGATAGACTTCTCCCATCTCAATATTCTTAAAGATGGTAGTAGCAGCATACGAAAGTTCAGGAACGTCCATTGTAGTATACAAGGAGATCAAATCCAAAGTGCCCAACTTCCAGGAGCAGTCCGCAGAATCACCGGTACCGAAGTTCTCAAAACGATACTCATGATAGGCCTTGTTGTTCTGGAAGTAGAGAGTCAGAGCCTGACCCGTTTGAGACCAGGTGAGTCCAGTCACATTCGTCAACGTGGTCCACTCATCACTTCCACTACGAGCCTTCAAAACAAACTGACGAACCTGCTGAGTAGTCTGAGTGTAGTACAGCTTCACAGTCACAGCGTTGATCCACTCATGTCGATCATTGTTGAATGCAATATTCAAATAGTTATTAGTACAAGATGAATAGGAAATGTAATAAGAGTAGTAATGGTTCAGAGCAGAGGAAGGATAGCCACTAATAGTGCTGTAAGTAAGAGCGTAGTCAAAGACACGAGATGTCGATTCCTCGCCCATTAATCGAAGGGCGCCATCGAAGAGCGATTCGGTCTGTACAGAATTAGCAGCAATGATTCCAATAGCAATGGTATTCGATCCTTGTTGAATGAAGTTCACCGAAGAAGACATATCAGCTTCGACTGTCTTGAGAGGAAGAGAAATCTGGTGATACAGAGTATCCGTGTAAATGTTGTTAGCATAACTCGAAGTGCTAATCGTGGCATCCGTCAGTCCCTTTCTGAACGCTTCATGTCCATTCAAATAAACGATGCATCCATACTTGAATCTGATGGAAAGAACGAATCCAGCAATGCTGCTTATGTCCGCTACATCGAATGTCTTTTTATACAACTGAATCTGGTTGGAGGAAGCGGCAAAGTTGCTGTCATTTCCTTCAGTCCATCCTTCAGTGGAAGTCGATGAATACCAATCAGCATCCACTGATCCATGCTTGTAATACCAGTTGGAATGAGGAAGAATGGTAAAATGAGCATTGAAAGTGCGAATTGTATTAAAACCAATGTTGGAGTCATATCTCATACGAAGAATCGTTTCCATCTCGTCATTGGATAAAACGGCACGGACATACAAGAATGAGTCATACTGCCAATAGGTGGAAGTGGACGCCACAGACACCTCGTACTTCGTACCAGTAACACAAGCGATACTGGTCCAATCCTCATTGTTAATCTGACCGGAGTTGGCAGCAACAGACATGATCACCTGCTGAGTTGTAGTATCCTTAATTTCGAAACTCTCATAAGAAGCGCTTGATCCGTAGGTACGGAGGACATTGATAATTGTTCCAGCACATTCCTGGATGGTAAGTGTGAACGATCCAGTGTAGGTGTTTCCAAGAACAACCGAAGACACAGTGATTGTCTGACCCGACACAGCATTGTTTACAACTCCAGTAATCTCACAAGTAGTAGCATCAATGGTAAGTCCTTCAGGAAGGTTCTGAGCTGTGCAAGAAGTAAACTCATTGATATCAGGCTTGACATACACTTCTTCGTATTTGGCCCAGAATGTGTAAGTATTGGGAGTGAAGGTAATCGATGTGGGAAGGGCAGTTGTGCAAGTCAGAGGCTGCATCTCGTAGGCATAAATGTAGCTGTAGCTTGTGCTAGACTGAATAACGACACGGTAATAGGAGAAAAGGCTGGCATAGAAATAACCACCAAAGATTTTGTATTTGCTCGATTCATAAGTGCCTCCAACCACACTAACAACGTTCGTCCACTGCGAGTTATCATTCGATCCCTGCCAAGTGAAGGTACTGGGCGAAGAGGTAGTAGAAGTATAAGGCCACACACGGACAGAGTTGATGTAAGCCTTCGGTCCCTCAAGGGAATAAGTTACAGTCGCGGGCAGGGAACTGGAATAGTAGGAAGTCGTTCTCGACCAGTCATAAATGTTGGCAACAGACGAACCTTGCGTGCTAGATACGGAGGCGGCATCAGCATAGACGAAGCAGTTGCCTTCCGTAGTAGAAGAAGCCAAAACAGCAAGATAAGCATTGAAATCGACGTTGGTTTGTGCAGTAAAGAAATGGACTTCAACAGCCAGAATCGATTGCTGGGAAGCCACTTCAGAGCCAGGACGAATGAATCCACGATAAGCAATCTCAGGGTATTCTCCAGTAGCAGAAGAGCTAGCGGAAACAGGTCCGTCGGGCATGTTATCACGATAGACCTCAGCTCCATTGATATAGGCAACGACTCCAGCCTTGTAGTACAGTCTCACATCATAAGCAGCCATGTTCGCAAGACCCACGAATTGCTTGCGGAAGTACTGAGTACCAGAAGCAGTCGCAGTAACAGAACCAAGGGTAGCATCCGACCAAGTGCTGTCAGAGAACGAATAAGCAGTCCAGCCATCCGTAATCGATCCAGAGGTCATCTTCCAAGTAGTACCCTTGTCAACACCATAGTAGAGAGAGAAGGTGTAAGTCTCCTCGCGCGAATCAGCCAGGAAATTCTTGAAGACAATATTACCGTGCTTTCCGTAAATAGCAAGAAAAGCTCCAGCATACCAAGAGTCTCCATAAGAATCAATCATCTTTACGGTGTATTGGTCATTGGTAGACGTAGTCAAGCATTGCTCAGTGGTTCGGGTTTCGCTGTTCGCAAAACCGGTTCCAGTATACAACAGGGTGGAGCCAGAATAGATCTCATACGATTCTTCACTTGCCCAGGAAGATCCGCACTTCTTAATAAACTTCACGTACGTCTGCCCAGTAGTACAAGTAAGATCGCTAAGCGCAATGGCAACTAAGTTTAAACAAAAAGCAAAGAGATACATAGGACAATGGAAATAAGCAGATTCTTCATATTCCTTACTTACAAAATAAATAATGACAAAATGGCAATGGAATATCCATATCATAAACACAATAGAATGTGGCACCCTATGATCCTAAACACTCGATTAGCCAATCAGCGATCATAAAAAACACAAAATTTATTGCCGAAATCTGGAAAATTTTATCATTTCCGTAGATTCAAGATCCAGATTAAGTGTGTGACACGACGTGATATCAGTAAATAAGAATGCACATTGAATATAAAAAGGCATGGACGTTCATGAAAAAAAGGAAAAGAATGCATGCATTATAATTGGCTGAAGCCAAACGGACGTATATTTTCGGGACAAAATTATACAAAACACACAATTCTGAGAATTCACCAATATAATGTGGTTAGACATTCGCAAAAATGGAGTTTGACTATAATAAGGCTATGTATGGTAAGCAACCAGTATTATACTCGAGTCTATTATTGGATCATTTGAACTCTGTGAAGAGAAATGGTCGCTGTACATACCGCGTATCCACTGATCTGAGGTACTATCTTTTAGAAGCAAATACTAAAGAGAAAGAGGAAGCCTGTGCAACGACCTGTTGTTCCTTACGCAAAATGGATACCAGTCGAAACACTAGCATATAGAGATAACGATTTTACCAAAGCAAAAGTGTTGTATCATAGATTACTTCAGAAAAATAGTAGTTATAGTTGAGACAATTCTTTGTTACAACAATCACAACTTCCGCTTTAAAAACGAACAGGAGTGGAGCGAAAGTTATGAAGAGTGAAAATAGAGATATAATTTGAAAGACATCCCATGAAGTGACAATTCTCATTATCAAAGAAAAGGATTGATTAGCATAATAGTGATAAGCAGACACGACTGGTATTGTAAAAAGCCAAAGGATACGAGAAGAACAATGTTTCTAAACACAAAAAGTCGTGTGTCTACATGAATTGATCATCATTCTGTTGAGCATTTTCAAAATAGTGCTGATTTTTGGAATTGTAGTATTGATTATAGAGAGAAGGAGTAATAATGAGAACTGTAGCAAAAAATATGTGACATGTAGTAATGCATAGTACTATGTGGATATTATGCGAGTGAACAGCATTGGAGACCTGGACAAGAGGCTGAACTATCCTGAGGTAGAGGGATAAGTAGTTGGCGTAGAACACATGCAATTATCAATTAACGAAATCTGCGTGATTTTGGAAGAAGGTTGGAGATAGTTGTATGGAAGTCATATGATGATATAAAAATTGCATGTGAAGGTGTTTAAGTGGTAAATATCTCGGGGATTGGTGGATAGCAAGAATTGGCGACAGAAAAGGAATCTGTAGGTGGAATAATACGAGAAGAGAGATGCAGAGAGATTATTATTGACAATGAGGTACATATTTGGAATACTAACTCTGTGTAGAGTATTGGGTTGAAATAGCTAATATAGTAATGAAGGAAGATCGTGGCAGTAACACAGATAAGCAACTCTTAGTGAGGTAAACACTTTTTGAATTGGTAGAGATAAGGCATTGTGCAAGTTGCTTGGAATTGGATTCTGTGATTTGTTGCGAGGTAATTTATTTTGCGATGGGAAGATGGGTGAAAATACTTTTCAAGGGAGATGATTTGGCAGAGTGAAGGATCCGGATCTGGAGATAAGCGAAATGGATAGAGCACAATAGGGTATATTCAAGGATATGTGT